TCCAAGAACGGGTGTAACAAACAACACACCGTTCTGATACGCCTGAAAAGTTTGAAGAAGAACGTCTAGACAGTAGGAAAAGTGGGGAGAGTTAATTTGTACGTAATTGATAGCAGTTGGAGAAAGTTGTTTGTTGACTTTTCTCTAATAGGCTTGAAGATCAATGAAAAACCAAATTAGATGCAAAAAAGAGGGCTCTAAAGTAGTCGAAATTAATGCGTTAGGTCATGTTTTAAATTTTAAAGTCAACTTTGTTTGGTTTTATAGAGATTTCAGATTACAAACTAATCTTTTTTACGGCAGTAGCTTTTGTAAACAACCTTGTAACTTTTTCTTTGTTTTCTCTGAAAATGTTGTTGGAAAAGTTTATTGATAGGCATGCAGATCCCTTTAGTTTTTCTTTTTACAACAATGTAATTACCGTGGAGAAAAACCCGTGCCTTTTTTGTCGTCATTATTACAAACCAAAGGTGTCTTCCAGAAGGTTTGCTGGACTTTGGTTGGTTTCCGAGTTGAAACCGTCAATTTTTAGGCAATGTCATCATCTTTGGATTAGTCCAAATAAGGTTTTTTCTGGCCAATTTTAGTTATCTACCGTTTCTCTCCCTTTCATAAAATTTTCATTCTGCCGGGCAAATAATGTGGATTTGCCGCAACGAAATGTCGCGACCACAAATCTCCGGCCGCGGCTTGCTTTTTTTATCAATAAATGGCGATTACAAGGCTTAATAAATCCACATTAATTTCCAGACAGACAGACAATTTTGAAGGATTATCAGTCTGTCGGGAAAATAATGTGGATTTGTCGCAGCAAAACCTCTTGCCTGGTCACTGTCGCGCACCAAATCTCCGGCCGCGGCTTGCTCATTTTAGCGATCAAGGGCGATAACAAGGCTTAATAAATCCACATTATTTTCCATACAGACTGATAATCCTTAAAAATTATCAGTCTGTCGGGAAAATAATGAGCGCAATGTCGCTGCCAAATCGTGCCGCTGAACTGAAAAGCAGTTTTATTTTGTCGCGAGACAGTTCATTTTTCCGGCGGCGATGCGACTTTGGATGCGACAGAGTGCTCATTATTTTCCCGACAGACTGATAAATTATATTTTCCATTGCTTTGAAGACAAGCTTAGATAAATATTTACTGTTTAATGCTCTTATGTCACCATTTTTCCACGCATAATGCCTGTTACAAGGCCACCAATTAAATCGCTGACGCAACACCTACAACTCTCCCCCAACCCCTCCCTCGCACAAACGCGATCTTCTTCATGCTACACCGACTCTATGTCTACGTTGAATTCTTTTAAAATCGCCTTACTCTTCTGCACAGTGGAACGATTTTCGGAACGGTCATTACAATTGGAATTTCCCAATTTTTCAAAACTCTTTGAACACGACTTGATCTCCGTCAGCCCAACCGCTTTACAGCGTCGGGTTTGAAACGATAATAATCGGAAGGAAGAGGCAACGGGTTGACAAGTCGGCCAGTGGAAGGTACCCCTCTTCCATAAACATTCCTGGATCGAGTTGAGTCGACTTTACTGTCTCTTTTGTTTTTTTGTTGCCTTTGGACTCTTTACTCACAGTGATTTATTTGAAGGGAGCTTTAATTAGAGAGGATTGTAAAGTAATGCTGGGGATATAAAAGAGATTTTCGGGTAGATTGAGGAGAATGTTTCTTTGTAGGCGAGATAGCATGGAAAATGAGGAGAGAGACATCCAAAAAAATGTGTTCAACTATAAATTTTTGGACTTTACCAGCAAAAAATAATAATTCTTTGTAGAAATAAAGAGTTGATAACGCAAAGCACCAGAATTTCTAACCGTCAACATCGTTAAAATGCTTTTAATTTTGTGTTACTGTCATATTTCAAAACCTTAGTTGTTTCTACATAACGCAGATCTAACAATATTGTGCCAGTCCGTCCATAGAGTCGTTGGAGCGATCTTTGGCGTTTGAACTGTGCAGAAAAGTCAAGATGCGAGCGACAGCCCAAAAAAGCCTATTGCACTGTGCAAAAAGCCGAAAATTGCACAGTGCAAAGTGAACTTTTGTTTTCTCACAATACATGCCGCCGAAATCACTCCAGCGACTTTGTGAACGGACTAGTATCACTCGGGGTAATGCCTTGATAATTTGCACAGTGCGGTTTGCAAAAACTCCGAAAAAAAGTATTTTGCACAGTGCATTTCGATTGAAAAACACTGCACAGTGTATTTCAGATTTTTTGCACTAATTGCATATAAGCAGCGCGATGCCCGTTTTTTAAAACGATCCTTTGGTGCGACAGATTCTTTGGATTTTTTTGGATAAATTATCAGTCTGTCTGGAAAATAGTGGTCGGTAGTTGCGCTTTGGAATCGCCCATCATCGCGTTGCGACGGCTAGCCACAGCTGGAAATTTGGTGCGTGACTGCACCTTTTTTCAACGAGACGAAAGCTTTTTCTGCGACGAGCGATCACCATTTTCCCTACAGACTGATATCAACAATTTTTGTCTCGAGCAGTAGATAACAATCTCGTATTTCATTTCATTATTGACGTGTGACAAGCTTCATCACAATTTTCCTTCAAAATTTCTACCATATTTTTACTCGTTTCCGCAAGTCACGTATTTTACATCAATTTTAGTATGTTGTTTTTCACCTCAACTTTCCTACTTTTTCTATACAAACACGATTTTTGTCACCTTCACTATACGTGGACATTCAACTCTGCGAAAAGTTTTTACTTTCCCTCGTATTACCGCGCGATAATTACGTGATGATCGGGTCGCTTTACGCGCTCCACGTTACTGGTTTTCCCTCAAATTGTAACAATCGCCGCTCGATTTACACCTTGCCGGTGATCGATCAAATTTTAACATTTTTTGATTCCCGGTTCCCGAAAGTAAAAAAAAGAACTCCCAAAAAAAAATTGTTCTGGAAGTAGGCGTTGCTATGCCCTCCGGGAATTCCGAGAAAAATAAGTTTGGCTGGAGCGGTTCTTATCGGTCTTTTGGCATTGTAAAATGACCTTTACTTTGTTTTCCGAAACCCTTTACAATTTGCGCGAGATTTTTTTGGTTTAGAGTTCTTTGCCTTAGGGTCTGTTGACGGGAGAGTGGCTGCGGGTTCATGGTTTTTGATTTTTTTATATTTTTGCGATGGTTTTTGCGGGACAGAGGGGTCCGATTAGGCCTACTGGTGGTTCCATAAAGTGCGTAAACTTTTTTCGAGGTGCACAGTGCATTTTTTTTTGTATTGTGAAATTGTCGTCGCGCAGTGCAAAAAGCTTGTGACAAAAAGTCTACGCACTTTATGGAACAACTAGTACTAGTGTATACTATTACTACTGCGTTGGTAAAGTCGCTGTGGTGATTTTTGACATTTTTACTTGACAAAAATTACATAAAAATCAGGGTGCAAGCCACAGTCCAAAAAAAGCTGTTGCACGGAGCAAAAATAAAGAAGTTTCACAGTGCAAAGTTAGCCCTTATTTCCTCACAATGCTTGTCGCCAAAATCACTCCAGTGACTCTGCGAACGGACTAGTAGTAAATGTGATTGTTAGCAGCTTGCAAAGCGTCTAAAAAAGTTTTTTTAAACAGTATAACAGGGTGCTAAATTATCAATCTTTTATTTGGTTATCATTTGATATATTTATCAAATATTCCCATCCTATTTTTTCTGTATGTTATGGTATGTATGATAAATATATATGACTAATTTTTTCTTACGCCTAATTTCGAGGAAACAACGTACAAAATTTCGTTGTAGTCGCATTTTTCTATACTAACCATAAATTTTGTTTTCACCCAGGTATTTTTCTACGATATTATTCGGCATTTTGACTCACTGTTTTCCTAAAATACGATATTTTTCTATATAAAGCCAGCAACTTCCTAAACTTTCCCGATGAAAATAAACGACTGGTCAGATTCCCAAATTCCCAGAATAAATCATCGTTGCCTCTCCGCCCTCCTAACTCGACAACACTCTCGGGTCGATAAGAAAACATTTTTCGGTCGTTATCAAACAGTTTTCGAACGGAATTCCCAGAAAAAACCGTCGGCGACAGGCCGTTCTTCGCGGGGTTTTGAGGGGGAAATTTTTACACCGGAAAGGTTTGGAAGTTAGTGTCTTCCGAATTCGTATAGATTCTGGACCAAGGGGACTTTATAATAGTGAAAAAATACTCGGATTTTGCAATCTTGCCAGAGGCGTTTTGGAAAAAAAACTTGAAAAACGTATTTTACCCTGAATTTTGTTTGTGTATGTACCTTGTAGAGATGATTATTGGTGTGTTAAAAACATTATTTTTTCATTTATTTCCAATTTTTTTCATTTCCTTATAGCACTCTCAATTTTTTTCAATTTCATTCCATTTTCACTGTAATTCGTTTCGATTACATTTTGACCTCAATTTGAACCCTTTAGGCATTTGCTTCACCCTTTTTCCAACAACCTTCCCTTCGCTTAAGCTCATGACGCACAAATTACCGTGATCGAATTCGTGGAATTTTCCGTCCCTTCTTCACGCTCATTAGCCTCTAATTTCAGAAACGGCCGGAAAAACAGACAGCAAGGCCGCTGATCTCATCACAAAAAACTCTCTAAACTCCATTCACTAATAACAGAAGCGGCGTGCGCGCCGTGATCGGCCTATGCTACGACGGAGGCGCTCGACGAGTGAACGAACCCTTCTCGACCAGATTTTGAACGCGAATCGGCGGATTTTGAGGCTTTGGGAGAAAGCGTGCGAGTTCTACAGTACTCCAAGAACACATTTAATATAATATTCAACAAGCTCGTGGAGTTACAACACATTTTCTCCAAGTTTTCGCCCTTATTAATACTGCCATAGCGATTGTTTCAAATTTTGGTCACAAACTCCGCCAATTTTTCTATATCATCTTGACTGATACCACGTCTTCTACAGTATCTCGACAATTATCTATATACCAGAAGACGTCCCTTTAAGCCGCTTAAAGGGGTCCCGGTAGCAAATTATTCATGACCATCGGTTGGTTCGACGCCTTCAGGGAGAATGGCGCCCCCACCTGGTACGGTGAGAACAGAACGCCGGTCGTCGTGGACCTGCAAATCGCCGCCTTGTTGTCCTTGTTCATCACACCCACACTGGCCTACCTGTTGATCTCACCCGGAATTCGAAGGTACAAAACTGCGTCGACTTTCACGTTCCTCTTCTCCATGGCGGTCGGCGCGATTATTTTGGGTGAGTAGAGCACCGCTTAATATATAGTACGCTTTTCCAAGGTATAAGTACTGTATTTTACCATAAACTTCAAGCATTTTTAAGCCGCTAAAAATCCACTTTCAGTCTCAATCCACTACCCATGTTGGCAGCAAGGAGAAGCCCGAGTCCTAACAGCCTACAAAGCCTTCTCCACGGACCGACTAAACGCCGTTCTTGGAGTCAAAATCGGCCTCTACAATGTGAATATCACGCTCACAACGAAAACATCTCCAAAATTGGACTTCAACGAGCGCATGAGCTTCCTGGATGGTAGGTCTGGAGGTAGTCGTACGTGGTATTAATAATAATGAAGGGGATAGTGGGTGTTGCAAATTGAGCGGTGTTTTTCCCTCTGGCTGATTGTGATCTATTCTAATGAGGATATTTTTTAGTGACAACATCAGAAACAGAGCGAGCATTACAAAAAGGAACGCCGTATCCAATGCTCAAAGTGGTGGAATATCTAAGTCTAGATCGGAATGGATTCAACCATGGAAGGCAATACCGAATGGCCGGGTATTACACGGGAGTTATGCTGTGGTAAGTTCATTTTTTTCAATTTTATTTTTTCCACAAAGAAACATTTTTCTAAAAACGAGATATCTGAATTTTTGAAGACTAAAAAAATGAACAAAGAGGGGCGTATTTTACCATTTTCAGGTGCGCTTTTGCCTGTTGGATCCTCCAAATGCTCCTGTTGTGTGTTCTGCCCCAAAAGTTTGGCCATGTCTGCATGACTGTCGGCGCATTTACAGTGACCGCCAATCTGGTATATGCGCTGAATGTTCCCAAACTTTTGTTTGTGCCATTCCCAGCGCCGCGAGGCGGACTGTCGCTGCTGGAGTTTCGGTTTTCGCATTGTTTTTACTTCACTTTGGCTGCTGGTGAGTTCATTTGCATTTTTGTCGAAAATAATGTCCAAAATTGGGATAATTGGGCCTTTACGGTTCAAAAACCGACCTTCGCTTAGGTGTTATAGCGGGTTATAAATCAAGACGACGGTCGGGTGTGGCTTGACGGGCCCTTCCGATCGTAAACTTATAAATCAAGTGTAGACATTGGTATTCTTTTGTCACCGCAGAGCGGAGATAATGACGTCAGAGGAAAGGTCAAAAAATGGCTTTTCAAAAAATTATTCCGCTTATGCAGTTATGGACATGGAAAATTTTAATAGTATATCGTAGAGTCCAGTATGACATATACGAATAAGTTTTGGCAACAAAACCTTTAAAAAAGATATCTTACGTTGAAAAAAGGTGAACTTATGCTTATATCAGTGCGTCGGGAAAATAATGAGGATTCTGTTGCATCGCAAGTCGCATCGCCGCCGGGAAAATGAATTTTGTCGCGGCAAAATGAAATTTATTTTCCCTTCAGCGACGCGATCGGCGCAGCGACTTATCTCGCTCATTATTTTCCCGACAGACTGATAAATTAAACACAAGAACTCGCCGTATCTCAGTGTTTTTTTTTCTTGCTACTAATGTCAAATTACTCCAACTTTTCAGGCCTCGGAAGTATCCTCTTCGGCGCGGCCCTTCTCCTCCTTCAACTCAACAAAGATTTCCAATTCCGGACCATCTTCGCCTGCAAGAACTACCGGCACATTCCCTGCGCTTGTCACGAGCATATAAAACGGCCAGTCTCGAATATCAGCACTGGCTCGTCATGCTCATCAACGATCAACTCAAGTCGCTCGTCGGAGGACGGTTGTGACGCCTTCAATTCGGAGGCTTCAACGACCAGTGCCGATGGGTATCACGCGTACAATGAGGAGGAAACAAAGAGTCCTCAAGTCTACAGCATAGTCGAATATGAACAACCGGACTTGGCCAAATGCCGGAGCGTTTCGCAAGTGCGAAAATTAGGCCAAGAACCGATTAATTGGATCATGCAAGACACGTACTTGCCTAAAAAATGATGACTTTATATTGCGCTTGATATCAGCTCGAGAAAAATCGAAATTTTGATTTTTACTTGGAAAAAATCAAATTTTTTTGCAATTTTTGGCATCAAGTGTCAAGTACAATATAAATTGTGTCGATCCGTTGAGTCCACCGTCAATTTTTTGTATTGTGTTAGGTTCAAAATCAAATTTCAAGTCTTTACCCCGCTAAGATCTGTAAGATAATCAAAACTGCCAACAAAAAGTTTCCAAAAATGTCGCGTGTCTTCCTTGTTATACCCCTGTCAATTATTGGTTGTGATCTCTTTGTCTATAAAATTTTTTCCACGCATAGGACAAACTTTTGCTTCGCCCTGTGCGCTGTCAGCTTTAGGTTTTTTGAGAAAAATCATCATAGAACGGTTTCCATTTTTTTCCAAAATTTCAATTTTCTTCGGACATGTCTACCAACTTACTATGGGTATATGTAAATTTCTATTAATCGTTGTTAACTGCCTTCGCGGACTGGGAAGTGTCCGCACTCTCTCCAAATCAAATGTTCTTTCGTTTTGTCGATACTCAAGAATGTGTTTTATTGCGCCCGAAAGGGTTGTTGAATATATAAATAAATAAAATCAGAAATCAATGATCGGATCATATATTATACAATCATTATTGTGGGGGTTTTACATCACAGCCCAGTAAATCCAGTGTCTCGACTTTTCCGGTCTGCGACAGTTCGAGACAACAAAAAATCGATCGACATGAGACGTAGAATAGGAAGAGACCCAAAAATGGTTGTAGGAGGTGCCTACGATGCCTGGCAAACCCGTTGGAAGCTCGCTGAAGGCTCGGCGGAGACTTGGCGAAGGCTCAACAACCATTGCTTCTAGGTTTAGCTATTGCTGACTTTCGTTATCTTGACCATCAGCTATTGCAATATAGAAAAGACCAAATTTTGATTCCTGAAAGTTTTAGCTCGCACTTTGAATATCTCGGCGCATTAAGGAAAAAAGTAACAATCAAAAAAATGAATGTCATTTTCGAAATCAGCACCTTCGATTATCCAACAATAATTTCGACATTTGCAACGAAGAAAAATAATACTCTTCGGGTTCCCCAATCGTCCAACTCCGAATTTTGAAGGCCAAATTCACTCTTCGACAATTTTTGTCCTTGCTTTTGCTTGAGTACAGGACGTGCAGAGAAATTCCCCACAACGTTTAGTCAATGCGTTTTCAGTACTCCCAGCGCGACGCTCAGCCTTGAATACAAATTTCTATTTCAGAACGTGGCTTCTTCATGTTAATAAGGTCCTTTTCGGGGGGCCATACGGTTCGCAGACCTTGAGGTGCATTTGAGACGCGTTGGTTTTCATTTCTACATCATATCACTCTAATGAAGGACCTGCTGATTGCTGTGCTGTTTATTATTTGTGCTCTTTTATTGGAAGCAAAGTCGGGAGGAGAATGCGATGATGAATGCTACTATTGCCAGTGCACTCTGTGGCTGTACTGCATTTGCCTGTTTTGAAGTTGACTTAGTGCTGGAAAATAAATTGGCTTTAATTGGAAGGGCAGATTCTCTATAACTATTGTCCTTGCTTTTGATTGAGTTGTACAGGAAATTTTTTTCGTACATGAAAGAAGTTTTCGAATTAAAAATATCGATTTATTGACTTGCAAAGTGCTCGGAGTGCGATGATTTTAACGAAACCTACAGCGGAAGGACTCCAAGTGTGACGTTCAATTACAACCAATCTTTGAGCAAATTGAGATTAATTATTTTCTGACTAGACATTTCTCTGGGTCCAGCGATGAAACTCGCAAAGAATTACTCCAAGTGTTACTCTCAGATAATGATAAAAGTTTTGCTCACGGAAAACGATCAGCTACGCCTCTGAACACAAAATTCTCTTCAAACGTTTGAAATTTGGTTTCTGTTTTTCAGTATTCACACGCAAATCGCTCTGAGGGCAACCCTCAGATTACGACTTACTCTATACGACCACGTTTTTCCAATTTTAGCTATTTCTAAACCTAGTTTTCTTTATTGCCACTGTAACATAGAAAAGACCACAACGTGTTTCAAAAAAACGAAGATCCGTCAGCTTTATCTGGATGTTGCAGTAATATATATAAAATGCTTCAAAATAGGAGGTAACTATCCTACGATCTGATCAATCTTATTATTTCTATTAACTAAGCTTTCCCTTAGCCTCCCACGCAAGATACAACGACAAGTCGAGGCAACACAATGTCTCGTTGGCCCAAACCGTCGTTCACCCGAAAAGTCGTAACGCCGTAAATTCTATGGTAATTAAGAATATATCACGTCTCGAGACGATGTATTTTCAAGACTAAAATCCACAGCCGTTTCTTACGTAATCATCTTTGACCACCCTCCTCGGAATCGCAAAGTGAAGTGTACAAAAATTTCAAAACCCCATCTTTGATATTTTCCTCTAACCAGTTATGACATTTACCCTCTATATTTTATGCAGACCATCAAAATAAACTGTCTACCTTTAAAGAGAGCGTTGCGCAATCTGTCGATGAATTATCAACAATGTCTTGACGAAACGATAAAAATCTTTGATTGATAGAAAATAAACGTTGCATCGATTTGTAGATTTGTATCAACAAAACCTTTTTTTGCTTCGGTTTTCCTATCATTGAGAATTTCAGCGGGAACCTCATTTTTCGCTTCACAATAAAATTTCGAGTCAAATGTTTTTTGAGGAAGTTTTATCGCGTCGAACTTTGTTTCTTTTCCTGCTGCGGGTTGTCCTATGGGCTATAAAGTCGCTCGTTTAGATATTTATTTGTAGTTACTTTTACGTTGCCTTCAAATTTCGTCTACGTGCAATCAGCAAAGCAAAAATCAATTCGTCAAACTTTGAACTCGCGCTTTGCCCGAGCTGCGGAAATTAAGCGATTTTTTTGCCAGAAAATAACTTCAACAAAGAGAGCCGGTCACATAAACAAACATCTTCTAACTATTAGCTATGCTTTAGCTAACAAACCCCTCTTCTTTCACACCTACCACTACCCAATTAAACGCTCGGTTTTGTAAAGTTTAATGAAGCCCATTGAACTTTTATTTCTTGCACGACCTTTTCCAAAACTGATTGATGATAAAATTATTGAACAGAGTTCGTCTAGAAATATTTGGTGAAGGGCTTTGTTGCGGTTTCAGCATAAAATCTCGAGGGTATTTTTCCGTGGTAGAGATTTGAATAAATTATTATTTCCCGGAATTTTTGGATCACAATTCACAGAATAGATGTCTGTGGAATATGGGTTGAACTTTTTCACGTATTTTTATTATTGCCGGAGGCTTCTTGGAAATAATATAAATATGCGTAATTTATAATCGTAATTTCCAGCATGACAACTTGTATCCGCCTCTACTCCAAAAGCGACTCGGAAGGCGATTTCCATTTGGACGCCATTCAGAGACGACTCCAAGCCCATTCACCCGACATTCAGATCAAAGAAGAGTCTTGTTTTTATGTTGTCGTGGAAAACGTTCATCTGGACGCGTTGATTGAACGCTCAGATGACCTGAAGAAGCTGTTGTCACACAATGTCTTCCATCAAGATGTAAAACCGGAGAGCTCCTTCAAAGAGGGAGAGGGAGAAGTGGTTGAGGTTGGACCGAGGTGGGCAGCTTTTTAGTGCGCGGAAATTTTCGGTTTTGTCGAAGATACCATTATCTTTTTCCAGGCTCACCTTCACAACTCCATTCTCAACAAATGCGGTCTCAGCCCTTCAAGCCGCTGGATTCAAAGGCATCATACGCCTTGAGAAATCCCGACGATACCAGCTAATTGGAGCTTCATCCGAAGCCCTCGAACATGTCGATTTTCTGCAAGAATTTGGCGACAAAATGACGGAACAGTTGTACTACACCACTCCATCTTTCGTCAACGAGTCTCCACAACGTGAAGACTATTTCTTCGTCGACGTTTTGGGGAAAGATGGCGCCGAAAATTTAGAGAAAGTAAATCAAGAGTTGGGATTGTCATTGGATGACTCGGACAAGGAATATTACTTGAATATGTATCGAAAGTTGGGTCGAAATCCCACTGACGTAGAGTTGTTCGATCTGGCCCAAAGTAACAGCGAACACAGCCGACATTGGTTCTTCAAAGGCAACCTGGTTGTCGACGGAGTTCAAAGAGAAAATCATCTGTTCAAGACGATTCAATCCACCCAAGATCACAGCAATCCCAACAATGTCATCGCTTTTTGTGATAACAGCAGGTAAACTTGAGATTTCAGAAGGTTCTCGATCTCTTTCTTGCAGTAACAAAGTGTAAATTTCAGCGCAATCAAAGGATTTGAAAGTCCCTCAATCTTGCCCTCCAACACAACAGAATCTAGCGCGTTGAAAGTCGAAAACAGAACAAAGCATATAATTTACACCGCTGAAACGCACAACTTTCCAACCGGTAAGATATTATACGCATATAACAACTAGTTTGTAAATACGGTCTGGCTGAAATGTGGCAATTTGTGTACTAACTATGTATATTCTATTTCCAGGGGTCTGTCCATTCCCCGGAGCCGCGACCGGAACCGGCGGTCGTCTTCGAGATGTTCAAGCGACCGGACAAGGAGCTCACGAGGTCGCTGGAGTAGTTGGCTACTCCTTTGGCAATCTCCATCTCGAAGACTTTGAGCAGCCATGGGAGGAGGACTACCACTCATACCCTATCAACCTTGCACATCCTCAAAAAGTTTTGTTGGATGCTTCGAATGGCGCTTCTGATTACGGTAACAAGTTTGGCGAGCCCGTTATAGCCGGATTCTCTCGATCGTTCGGCCAACTCGTGGAATTGGCGAATGGAGAAAAGGAGAGGATCGAATACATAAAACCGATACTGTTTTCCGGAGGCATTGGATTAATGGATTCGGCGCATTCGAAGAAAGCCGAATGCGAGAAAGGCCAATTGATCGCTAAAATCGGTGGACCAGTGTACAGAATTGGTCTTGGTGGAGGGGCTGCAAGTTCAGTGATGGTTCAAGGCGATCGAACAGCTGAACTAGACTATGGAGCAGTTCAAAGGGGTGATCCGGAGATGGAACAGAAAGTGCACAGAGTTATTAGAGCATGTGTGGAAATGAACCAAAACAATCCAATCCTGAGTATTCATGATCAAGGCGCTGGAGGAAATGGTGAGTTAAAGTTACCGTCTGATAACTACACCAATAAATATAGAAAAAAGGTATTTTTACCATACTTTTTTCAGGAAATGTCCTCAAAGAAATTGTCGAAGGCAAACAAGGCGGAGCGATTATTTACTCCGACAAATTCCTCCTTGGCGATCCGACGATCAGCATTCGTGAACTTTGGGGAGCCGAATACCAAGAGAACGATGCTATTCTACTGAACAAAGACCGGCAAGAGGAATTACAGAGGATTGGAAAGAGAGAGCGATGCCCGATTCAAATTGTCGGAGAGGTCACTGGAGACAACCAAGTGGTGTTGAAGGATTTTGAAAATAACGATCAACATCCAGTGGACATAAACTTGCACGAATTGGCAGAGAGAGATCCCAAGGTAAGTAAAGATGGACCTGATAACAGAATAAAAATGATGATTCAAAATTGCTGTATTTGATTTTTCAGACCTTCCATCTTGATTCCAAGGAATTCGTCCATAAGCCTCTGGAAATTCCGGAAGACTTATCGGTTTCCAAAGCCTTAGGGCTTGTTCTTCGGCTTCCATCAGTGAGCTCCAAGAGATTCTTGACCAACAAAGTCGACCGCTCGGTAACCGGTCTCATAGCACAGCAACAATGCGTTGGCCCTCTTCAATTGCCACTGGCTGATTGTGGAGTCACTGCAGCAAGTTATTTCGATACCGTTGGAAGTGTCGTTGGACTGGGAGAGCAGCCAATTCGAGGTAATCAAGACTCGGCTTTGCATAGAACATTGTAAAAAAACGCCTCTCCAACATCTCTCCTTTTAGGTCTTGTTGACCCCGGCGCTGGAGCCCGTTGTTCTGTCGCTGAATCTTTAACCAACCTTGTCTTCACACCCATCACTTGCTTGGAGGACGTCAAATGCTCTGGAAATTGGATGTGGCCCGCTCGATTAGAAGGAGAAGGGCAACGTCTGGTCGCCGCTTGTGACGGAATGTGCGGTTTTATGAAAGCAATTGGCGTCGCAATTGATGGAGGAAAGGATTCGCTGAGTATGGCGGCGAAGGTTGGACATGACGTCGTTAAATCTCCGGGCACCTTGGTCATCAGCTCATACGCGCCTTGCACGGACATCACAAAAGTTGTCGGGCCTGACCTAAAAGTGGCTGGTGAAGGAACTCACTTAATTTTGGTTCATATGAACTCTAAACAACATAATCATCGAATGGGTGGAAGTGCGTTGGCGCAGACGCTGAAGCAAATCGGAACGGAATCCCCAGACATTGGCGATCCAAAATATTTCAAAAAGTGTTTCAACGCCATTCAGAACCTTGTTAACGAGAAGCTGATCTTGGCTGGTCATGACATCAGCGATGGAGGACTATTGACCACAGTCTTGGAGATGGCATTTGCTGGAAACTGCGGGCTTGAGTTGGATTTCAATTTTACTTCAAAGAATTTTATCGAAGAATTGTTCAACGAAGAAGTTGGCGTTGTTTTCGAAGTCGACGAACAGAATCTGGCTGCGGTTTCGGAGCAGCTAAAGAAGTCTGAAATTTCATTTGACAACATCGGAAAAGCTTTACCGGTGTATGGATCAGATGCTCATGTTACGATCGCTGTAAAAGGCGAGAAAATTTTGAAAGAGAAGCTCCAAACGTTATATGAGATCTTCGAGGAAGTCAGCGACAAGATGGAGTTACTACAGACGAATCCTAAGTGCGTTGAACAACAAAAAGAATGGAGAAAACAGATCAAGAATCCGGAATACAAACTGACTTTTGGATATGGACAAAATTTGAGGGAGACCGCAAAAAGTAAGACCACCTACGACAAAGCAAACGGTTCTAAGCTAATCTTTACCCTTCAACCTCTTTCAGACAAGCCTAAAGTCGCAATAATCCGAGAAGAAGGCAGTAACGGCGACCGTGAAATGGCCGCGGCTTTCATTATGGCTGGTTTCGAAGCCGTCGATGTAACAATGACGGACCTTCTTCAGCACACAGTCTCATTGGCACAATTCAAAGGAATCGCCTTTGTCGGAGGATTCTCTTACGCTGATGTCCTCGGCTCGGCTAAAGGATGGGCTGCATCTATTCAAATGCACAAGGACTTGGCCATCGAATTCGAGGAGTTCAGGAGACGAAAAGACACGTTTTCGTTTGGAGTTTGCAACGGATGTCAACTAATGGCATTGCTGGGATGGATTGGAGATGTGGAGGAGAATAACGGTAATTGTAAAATATGGCAATTCAAACAAAAACAATTTTTTTAGCGGAAACTCAAGTCTTCCTCGATCGCAACGACTGCGGCCGTTTCCAATCATCATTTTCTCGAGTTCGAATCGAAAAATCCAAAGCGATAATGCTCAAAGGGATGGAGGGTTCAGTCCTTGGTGTCTGGAGCTCGCACGGCGAAGGGAAGTTCACCTACCGTACCGCAGAAACCCTAAAAAAACTGGAATCACAAGGCTTAATCGGGCTTCGTTACGTGGATGAAGCCAACAATACGACCACGATATACCCGGCTAATCCCAATGGATCCGAAGCCGGTGTAGCGGGTGTGTGTTCTGCCGATGGACGACACTTTTCTCTAATGCCACATCCAGATCGCGCTTTCCTCAGCTGGCAATGGCCAAATTATCCGGATGGATGGGCAAGGAAGGCGGGAAATGTGTCGCCGTGGATTCGGATCTTCGAAAACGCGTATGAATGGGTTCAAAGTCAACAGTAATACGATAAACGTCTGATTTCGCGGTATAAAATAAAAAAGTAAATAAAAATGTTGTAAAATCCGACAATTTCTTTCAATTCCAACTACAACAATTCTTCGCATCTCTTAATTTTCCTCCAGAACGTTCTCATACCACAAACACACACATTCCCATCAATCCAACCGGCCAGACGTTTCAGTGTACGTGTGAGCGAGTCGATTTATTATATTATGCATGTTTGTTTAGAGACTGTGTTTTTTTATCCGCTTTCGCCTTTAAGCCAAGGCTTTTGACACATTTCCGGGGCCGGCAATGGCTTCCTCAATGTGGGTAGAGACATTTGGGGGCTCCATATCTTTTTTCCACATATCTTTTGGGGCGCTTTTTTGGAAATAATTTGAGAGTTGTCTGGATTGTTGCGTGCATGCGTGGATTAGACTCTGCGTGTGTCATCAATGGCGACCTTTGTATTTTGGAAGGGATTTGGTGAAGGCTTTGTTTGGATTATTAAAATGGGTTTTTGGGGTTTCGTTTGGGGGAATAGTCCAGGAAAGAAATTTGGATATTAATCAAAAATTAAGGTTTGTCGCAAGGCCGAACATGGCTAAACTGTAGAACACTATTTTCTATGCCATCAAGCAAACTTGTAGATCGCACTTTACAGAATTCATAGAAAATTAATTCAATCCAAAAATCTCATTATTCGATAACTCACGCAAAATCGCCAAATCGCATCATATTGACCCATAAACGTCGTTCGAACCTTTGAAAATCTTTATTTACACAGTTGTGCACGTATACTGGCTTGTTAAAAAAAGTTTCCCATTTTTTTGCAATTTGCACATCCCCATCCCATTTGACATTTCCTTATCTCTCATGCTTCTGCCCTGTCTATCCAAATTCTTCTTTCTGTTTCTACTTTGGTGCGCATAAAGTCAAAATGGGTCCATTCATCCAGCAGTAATTATTTTGTGGATGAGAAGAGAGAAAGGATGAGAAGACAGAAAGGACGAGGAAAAAACTTCTGGCCAATTTGTCGAATGTTCCTTTTTTCTTTCCTTACGAACGCATCCCATAAAACTTGGACTCGTCCAAATTTGGGTCCGTCCCGGAAATTGGAGCCCACAAAAAAATGTTTTGTAAGATTAGATAAAACTTTTGGGGAAGGGCTGAATTGAGAGGGCTGATGAGCTAACATGTGACGTGAACTGAAATTTGGAGGGAAATTTTTTGAAAGTCAAGTGTGCCAAAAATGGTAAAACTTTCTCGTTTATGAATGACATTCATGAAGAGAAAACAAGGAGAATTATGGTGATATAAATCCGTTCGTAAAGCCATTTGCATGGTGCAAAAATTTGCACTGTAAAAATGAACTTTTGTTTTCTCACAGTGCATGTCGCCGGAATCACTCCAGCGACTTTGCGAACGGATTAGTATGAACTGTTTTGTTGGTAAATATCATAATAAAAAGTAGGGTCCAGCTAAGTAAAAATTACTCCAATACCTTGGAGATTTTTTGTTTAATCTGTTTCGGTCGACCAAAAGGCCGAAAGCGAGACAAAGGAGGCACCAAATTGGCGTCAAAAGAAATCGTAGGGTTCACAAATATTTTGCGGCTTGAAGAGAGATGGTTTCTGATGCGAAAACCTTTCGAGAAAATATAATTTTTTGTTTTTTTTTTCTCTCCGATCTTTTCATGCCTCTGGGATACCTTTTGTCATCAAAAAAATACCTTCTTGATAACTTTTTCGACCTTTTCCTCTCGGAAAATCCGAAATTAGTGTGGAATTAATTATTACAGCATCTTCACCTACGTTTTACTAGAATATTTACCAACAAATTAGCTCATAACACCGTCATCTCCTTCACTTTCGGGATTATCACCCAAAATAGGGCAACTCCCCACTATTCCTTTATTCTCCTTGTTTTCCGGGCCTTATCAGTCCCCACTCCTCGTTTTGGGGGTCAGAGGCCCTTCGAATTCACTCTTTATTCCCCGCACGTGTTTCGTTTACATTATTTTGCCATGAGCGATTGTTTTCGCCTCATCGCTGAGTAAAGATTGATGCGTTTATCATTGCATTTCGTTGAAATTGAAGATAATTATCTTCTTCTCGACGTATTTTCCAGATGTTCCAAAAGGGTTGTTTTTATATTAAGAGGGGGTACTTTCAAGGGTTAGGGAGGGTTATTCGCTGCCAGACAGTGGACAGTAATACGGAAACCCCCTTCTAGATCAAAATACAAAGCTCTTTCAATCCCAAAATTGGAAAAGAATGTAATTTTTGCCAATTTTAGCTTGAAAATCGGCACGCTCTCTAAAGCATTGCCCCGGAACATCTGCTATTTTCTAGAAAATTACCTCAAATTGTGCAAAGCCCGATACTCGGGATCCTTACTGACAAAAATTCGAGGGATTACCCTTGTTTTGTTCGCGTCTACTTTTTTTATGTTTTTGGGGAAAACAAAATCATCCATTATTTATGCATGCAGTGTATCTGGTTTGCATTTCTTGGGCCACTTGGAAAATTAATGTTTTCCTAGGTTTGGGAAGCGGGCAAGTGCAGTTTACGGATCTCTGGCGTCCAAGAGTATGCGTTACAGCTGGGGAATACTGGCTAATTCTGACAAGAGACAGAAAAAAGTCGACCCTTCTGAACCCTCCTATTTTTTGTGTAAGGAATTGGTTAATTCGCCTTTTATGTCCCATTATGCACAAAATTTGGTCGTAAACCTGAAGCTTTAGCCTTCTATACAACCTATTTACTTATTATCAATGATAGTACATCGTATTTTTTACTTTACACATCACTCCGACCTTGACAACGTGCTTTTTTGTGTAAAAAACAGAAAACAAAAACAATTTTGGTAAACATTTCCACTCAACTGCCATAAATCGCAATTTTGATCTCAAAAATGTCATAAATGCCGGTTTTTCAACTAAACTTCCTCGCAAATCTAAATGATAGCCCGAAAGAAATGGCCCCGAATGTCATTACACCGCGGCCGAGTGCAACTCTCACGTAAACAATAACTTTGACGGTTTCGAGACTTGCGGAAAATTAGTTTTTCGCTCTTCGTGACCCAAAAAAAGAGAATTTATACACGTTTTTGGGGAGTGGACGTGGCCTGGCAGCGAAATTTGACTTTTTTTGCTGGTTCTAATCTCAAAAACGCTGTAAAGTTTACAATGTTTTCGGCGCTTTTGCTGATTGATATCAACCTGTTTCTTCTGGGGGATTCCTTTGCGTGCTTGGGAATCGGTTTTTGACTTTGATAAATGAATGGGATTCGGGTGAAAGAATAGGGGCATCACTGAACACGCGCACTTTTTTCACGAATAAGGAATGAATATTAATGAAGTCTATGGTCGACGAGACGTTGGAGATGGTGCTTAAGTTGTTTTCTATGCAGCAATGGGTTGTGGTTTATAATATTGGGGCGCAAAAGCCATAGCGTTGAAATCGGAACCAAAAAATCTGTGAGTTCTGACAAGAATCGCGATCAAAAAATGTAACACGTAGTGCAAGCGTATTTTCCACTATTTTATGAGATATTTCATGCCCTTAGACATCATTGCTACCTATTCTTTACCCTAGACACAAAATAGACTCTATCTTCGCAATTTTCATAAACCTACTTCACTAATAAAACTCTGGTCAGAGGTCGCTAACGGATAAAATAGCTTGTCATCTCTCTATTATACCACGACTGCCGTTATCTTACTAGTCAGAGTAAAATTTTTAAACTTCGTGAACTTTAAAAAAACAATAACCTTGACCTTGCCTAAACAGTCTCATTTTTAACGTTCTCTGAGCTTTTACGGGTAAAAAAACTTGCCGGCTGGTCTGAAAACCCCCAAAGAATAATAGATAATGGATTTTCAGTAAATCTTCGTGATTTTTTCGAATTTAAAAAGATGGTGATGGCAATTCAATGTATTTCAATTCACTTCGCTTTGGTTTTCGTTGATTTTGGCATATGTTGTACATGCCATTGCCCTAAAATCTCGCAAAACGCGTTTACCTTTGCCTGAAAAGTAACTAAAATCAATGATGAAGCTTCTTGCAATTTCTTCTCGTATTTTCTTCAACTTCCATATGATTCTGAGCTCCTTTTTTCTCTGTGTAAAGCATCTTTATCATTTTTGATACCTAAAATTACAAAAGAAAACAATACTTACTTCGACCTTGACTATCGTTTTCTTTTTGACTTGCAAGCACCTTTGGATGAATGGGAGGAACACCGAGAAAGAAACCAACACAACATCAGGTATATAAAAAAGAATTTTCGAAGAGAAGAAAAGGTGAACATTTTTGCCGTCTTTCTTTGAAATGCGTTCGGTTTTTCTCGTTTGATACGGCAGTTTCTGCCTCCAAAACCAATATTCTTACTCGTTTTACCTTTCACACGCAGAAAAAGGGACAAACTCGGAGAAAATTATATTATACTAGGCCTATTACACTGTGCACTGGGCAAATCATATTTTTTCTTTGCAAAGATTGATAAATCAGCCTAAAAATAACGGACACTTAGTTCTTATCAATTTCTGAGTAATACTAGATGTTTTTGCGGTCAGTTCGAACAATTTTCCCGGGTTGTAAACGACCCGTTATATTGTACCAGGCAAACGTTGTAAAAAAGCTAAATTCTCCCTCTGAAAACACTTCAAAATACTCGTAATAACTCTAAATCCCTGAGATCTCGCGAAATTTTACAAAATCTTGTCAAAATTCGACAGTTTCCCTAAATGTGTCAACATTCTCTCTTTGCGTCAACTGTTTCTCTTTGTCCAAAGAATTGTAAAATTGTTGTTACTTGATGGATTTTCTTGATGAGTTGTGTTCAATGTACGGTAAAATGGTCGAATTTATCTTAATTTACACTTGAAAATGTTTTTCCGCGTATTTTCGATAAATTTCACGCAATTTTCATGTTATCCATGCCTAAAAATCGAGTTTTTATTGTTTCCCCGTAAAATTCGTGGTTTATTCTCCTGATTTCCGTTGCAGATCACACTCAATGGGCTATCAACAGGAAGCCGAGCAGGATTGCCATTCAAATCGGGTCAATGCGCAGTCAGCAAGGATATCATTTTTGTGAGTAAATCGCTGAGAAAATATGCAATTTTTGAGAGATTCTTTGGCCAAAATAGCAGTTTATTTTTTTAAAACGTATTCTACAACTGTCTTAGACCTTAACTTGAAGTTTTAACTGACGTTTGATAGAATTTTTATATTGTACTAGACATCCGATAAAAATTGGTCTAGAAATTCCGAAAATTGTAGGTTTTATCAATTCTTTTTTTTGTAAAATACGTCAGGTGGGCGTACATTTGCTGTTATGGTCAATAAAATTTATTTAGCTCATCAAAAATTTTAGATTTTACCGTGTTTATCTAAACTGTTACCTAAAATTTAAATTTTACACTTTTTTGGTTTCAATATCTAAAATCAGTTTTGTTTCAGTGAAGAATGGAAGTACTTGTTCAGGAACGCAGAATTAGATGCAGACACGCTCAGGAATCATTGTTTTGCCGGCCATCTCAGGGATTCCAATCTTCGTTCCGTGGTTTGGCGGGTATGGATATTTTGAGTTTTTATGGGGAATATAAACTGAACGAGGTTTTTTTTTTAACTGATAGAAGATGGCACGAACCTTTGCGTATTTTACAATGTAAAAATGAATTTTTGAATTTTTTTTTTTTTTTTTTTTTTTTTTTTGAGATTTTTTCGCCCTTTTTTTTGCTACTGTTTTAAAAATTGTTTTTTTTTATTTTTTAAAATTCGTTTTTTTTTTTATTTTTAAAAATAAATTTTCTTATTTTTCAAAAAAAATTTTTTTTCAGGTATTACTAAAAGTGCTTCCCTACGAACGTCTAGAATGGCGGAGGATCCTGGCTGATCGCCGCCGTGATTACAGCGAACTGAAACGCAGATTGAATACAAATCCCCGTGCCGAAAAGTTCGGAGACGACCCGAATTTGAACAACCCGCTCTCCCAAAAAGATGAGGTATGCTGATTTTTTTAAATTTTTTGTTCGTATATTTGCATAGAAAATGAAATATTGACAGCATGTATAAGTTTGTATTTTACAATGATTTTTTTTTTGACTAAAAAAATTATAAAATATGATTGTAGAACCCGTGGAACCAATTTTTCATCGATGAAGGCCTCAGGGATTCGATTCGAAAGGATGTCGATCGAACGTAAGTTGTATTTTGGTTGATTGAGAAGATTTATAAGGATTTTTTGAAGTTTGGCAGCGATTTTATTTGAAAAAGGCTGAATTTTTCTTCTATTTTTTGGGGCATTTTCAACATTTTTTTAGATTTTTTTTATTTATAAAATTTTTGCGTTTAAAAAAGATTCAAAAAGAAAGAATATGATAGAAATACATCTTTCTTAGTAATTTCTCTCGATTTTCTTATAAAGGATAACTGCGAGATTCCGTATTTTACCCCGATTTTTTCTAATTATCCAAAAATTTTTAAATATTTTTAGATTTGTTAGAAATTTTCAATATAAAAATTGCGGAAAAATATGGGTTTTTTCAATGCTCAAGGGTTGTGTGTCCTAATTAATTGAATTCCAGCTTCCCAGAGCTTCAATTTTTCCAAAGCCAGACCACCAAAAGGATAATGTCCGATATTTTATTTGTTTACTCCAAACAGAACTCTCACATCTCGTATCGACAGGTAATTTTCATTTTAATAGAACTGCTAAGTTCTAAAATTATTATATTTATTGATTTTGATCCTTATTTTTCCCAAAATTTTTTAATTTTTTTTTATATTATTTTAGGGGATGCACGAGATTTTGGCCCCAATTTTGTTCGTCATTTACTTTGATCACAGGTCCTTTGAACATTTGAATGAGCAAAACGCCTTGGGGTAAGATTTTTAGACGACATTTGATCGATTTTTTAACCAAAAATTATATTGTACTTGGTAGTGACATTAAAAAAAATTTTTCCAGCGGCTTCACGGACTTCGAATTAGACACTCTGAGTTGCGTAAATGACCCAGACTACCTCGAACACGATGCCTACACGTTATTCCAGCAGGTTATGTTCTTGCTGGAAGGGTTTTATGCCAATACTGATTTGGAGGAAGATTGTGATATGGAAACGGGAAGAAAGGAGAATTTGGTGCCGTTTCAGGGGTAAGTGAGACGGCTGGAGCGTATTTTAAGACTTCATTGGACTTTTTCTGGGGATTTTTGGGGTTTTTTGAAGGAATTTAGTGGTTTAGGTAGGGCGCAGGCTGCGGAAAATGTAAACTTGAGAAAATACGGAAATTATTTTTTTATGGAAATTATGACGTGTTGTTAGGGATGATACATCTTTTATTTAGCCAATTATGACGGTAGAAGCGGGTTTTTTTCAGGTTTCTCGGGCGCAGCTCGCCAAACACGAAATTTTTAGTTTGTCCATTAAAAACTGGATTTTTTTCTGTATTATTTCTGATATTATATTAGCTTTATTAATACGTATTTTAAAACTTTTGCTAACGTAGGACGCAGCTCGCCGACAAAAAAATTAAAATTTTTGCGATTTTCATAAAATCTTTTGGAATTTTTAGCCCGGACTGTCCTCACATGCACTCCCAGCTGCTGAAGCGGCTCACACAAATCCATGAAGAGCTCTTACCTCAGGTCGATTCACTTTTATACAGGCATCTCCACTCATTGGACATCTCTCCGCAGTTGTATGGAATGTAAGTTAATAAAACTAAAAAAAAGTATAATACAGGGTTTTTGTGGGGGTGAAATTGATTTTAGAAAGCGTTTTATATGTTTTAATGCTGTTTGATTTTGTTTTTCGATTGATTTTGAACCAAAATTTTGCGATTTTTAGTGATTTTTTAGTGATTTTTTGCCTTTCAGTCGTTGGCTCCGCCTACTTTTTGGCCGAGAATTCCCGTTGCACGATTTGCTGTACCTCTGGGACGTTCTTTTCGCTGACTCACCAATCCTCGGACTCTGTGAACAAGTATTTCTGGCACTATTAGTGCAAATCCGACATTTGTGTAAGGTTTTTTTGTATTTTTTTGCGATTTTTAGAGATTTTTATTCATTTTTAAAAATTTTATGGATAAAATTCTCGTATTTTAAAAAGAATGATGTTTGTTGAGACCCCTTTTTACATTTGCAACACGAATTTATGACGCGACGCACATAACGGACCAATAATTTATCCATTATTCATATCAGCCAGCCAAGTGTAATATATCCGAATTGAATTTGCTGTCAATTTCAGTGCTCTGTGGAGATTATTCGTCCACTCTGCAATACTTGATGCGCTACCCGCCCACCGCCGACATCCACATCTTCGTTCAGCTGGTCCTCCATTTGAAGGAACCCAAGGTAGGGGTTTGGAGCAATTTTTGGATTTATTTTATTGGTTTGAGGACTGTAGGACTTATTTTTGACATTTTTTAGTTAGATGGGAGATTTTGGAGGGGATTGGGGGGAGAAAATTTTTGAAAAATTCGAAAATTTTTTATATTATTTTATTAGATAATTTTTGATGATTTGAAGGTGATTTTGGTAAATTTTTGGGGTTGTTGCGATATTTCTAGGCAAATAGAGGGCTATTTGTTATTTGAGAGCTAAAATTTTGAGTATATCAGAAGTTTCGACCTTATTTTAGACGATTTTTTACCTAAAATAAGGTCCAAGCTGATTCAAAATGTCTTTTGATTAGGGTAATTGAATGTTAAAAGTAATTACTATGGTCCTGCAATAAGTTTTAAAAAAAATGTTTTTGATTTTCACCGATTTTTATTAGAAAAATTAGAAAAAAAAGATTTTAAAACAAAAAATTTTCGAAAATTTTTTTTTCAGAAACACCCAAAGCCCAAGAACCTCTCCCTGTATTCGCATATGACGCTTGCTGGCAAAGCTCATCCGAACCAAGACCGTTCCGTTTATCGCTTCACGAATGGGTTCAACGGCGTCAGCAAACCGAAGATGAGAGCCAATCAAGTCTTGAGTAAATTAGGTATGGTTTGAGGGAAAAAATGGAGAAAAACAGTGAGAAATGGTCGAGATAGACTCGGAGGAGTGTAGTTTAGATAGAGACAGTCAAGTTTCGATATAGGGAAGTGAGAAATTAAAAGTTTTAAAAAAATTTTAGGAAAAAGTCGAGAATTTTTCAGTTTTTGAGGAAAAAATGTAAATTTACTGTGTTTTAATACGAAAATTAGGTGTTAGATTTGAAGAGAAGAGCAGTGAGGGTCTATAGATTTAATTTTGTGGCCATACCGGTATTTTGGAATTAAGAAATTTTGAAAAAATCTCAAAAATCGACCTTATTTTAGTTTTTTGGTCAAAAAAGTTGGTTTGATAGAGTTTTTACCCATTTTTTGCTCTGAAATTTTAAAAATAGACTACCAAGAGTATGTAAATGAATTTTCAGCCCGTCCCGCCCTCTCGGCCAACTCCACGCCCCTGTTGAAACGCCCCGAGAATGGGCTGGAAGCGGAAATGGTACCCTTGAAAATCGCGGTCCCAATGGACACGGTGAGAATTTCCACCCAATGCGTGTAGTGCCTCACCCCACCGTCTCCCCCAAATAGTTGTTATAGTAGATGATTGTTGTGAAGTCAAGTTGTTATTGCCGGTTTGTTGATTTTTGAGAGTTATTAGGAATTTTGATGTAAGACAAGGTTGAAATGGTGGAAAAAGTGGTAAAAATGAGATTTTAAGGAGGCATATTACTAGTGGAATATTTTTAAATTAAATTTTAGACCTATTCTTTACCTTATTTTAGGTATTTTTTAGATATAAAAGTCGATTTTTGGATATTTTTTGAAATTAGCATGAAATTTATTACCTAAAATTAAGCGAAAAATTAATTTTAGATGTTTTCTGACTATTTCCGCTTTGTTTACATCAAATTTTGTCTGTCTCATACCTAGTACAATATAATTTTTTTTTATTTTTTAGCGATTTCTTTGTATATTCGTTTCCAAAATGAGGATTTGGGTGTAAAAACGAAATTTATAGCATTTGAAGTTTTGGCATTATCATATTTTACCCAAAAATTACATAAATTTTAAACTTTACACCCAAATTCGCCGATCTTTGCCAAAATTTCCAATTTCTTAGCCGAATTTTAAATTAAGCCCAGTAATTTAATAGAATTCTCTCGATTGTTTTGAATTTCCCATTGTTTACAGCCAGCCGTTTTTAATATAGTATTTATGAGTTTTGCCGCTTTTTTTCACCCCCGAATTTCCCCCCGTTTTCCGCAAATTTTTGTTTTCTCTCCACTGTAATTATGTTGTTTTTTCAAAAACATTAAATATTTCCTCCCCCCTTTAATTCCATCCCCACTGTGTTTTGTCGCCCAGAAAAAGACCTTCTCCTAATTTTGAAAGGCTTTTTGGAAGGTTCAAGAAGCCCGAATTCCGACTTTTTTGAGATAAAATTAGCGAAAATGAAGGTTTCTTAAACTTTTTTAAAGTTTCTTTTGATGAAAGATGCATTGATGCTAATTTAATTAGCAAATAATTGAGTTTGCCATGGCAGAAAGGAGCCGTCTGAGCTGAAATTTGGCTTAGGAGGGTTAAAAGTTGAGGCCAAAATGGGATTTTTAAAAAAAATTTTGAAATTTGGTTTAAAAAAATTTTGAAAAAATTTGATCAATTCGATTTTGAAGTCAAAAATACAATATTTTTATAAAAATTCAACGTTTTCCTGCCGAAACTCGCCAAGAAACAGCAAAAAACAAAATTTTTCTCTGACCGACTCTCCTCGTTTTGCGTGCTCTCTCGAAAAATGGCAATATCTCGACTGCGAATGCAGAAAAAAACTAAAAGTTTCGGGCATTGATATATGGAATTAATAAGCTTTTTGTAGGGCAATATTTGGCCCTCTTTTTTGCGGTTATTATATTAGAATAGGCGAAAAACTCAAATATTTTTTGAGGGAAAATGACGAAAAACAAAATTTGAGTGTACAAGACATGATGACAACACAAAATTTGAGCAGAATTAGGTAAAATACGTCATTGAAAACAATCTAAAAGTTTTGGGAGATTGATATATGGAGTTTTAGAGTCTGTGGGCCAAATTTGAAAAGAATCGAGGGGTCAAATTTTTCATCCTTTTTTGCCTAGTACGATATAAAAATTTGGGTAAAAAACTTTTTTTAAAGGAAATACGTCATATTTTTTATCCATTTCTACTCAAATTTTGAGTTCATACGACGTATTTTCTTTAAAGAAAGATTTTTTAATCGAATTTTTATATTGTTCTAGGCAAAAAAGGATGACAAATTTGACCCTTCGATTCTTTTCAAGTTTACCCCATAGACTCTAAATTGGCCATACATCAATGCCTGAAGCTTTTTGATTGTTTTTGGTGACGTATTTTACCCAATTCTGCTCAAATTTTGGGTTGCCATCATGTTTTGTACACCCAAACTTTGTTATTCGTCATTTTTCCTCTAAAAAATATTCGAGTTTTTCGCCTATTCTAATATAATAACCGCAAAAAAAGGAGGGCCGAATATTGCCCTACAAAAAGCTTATTAATTCCTCTTCTTCTCCGCACCGTTCTTCATATCCGTTGACGTCCGGGATGACGTCGATTTTCCCCTCAAAAACAGGTCCATTATCCTCTTTTTTTTCGTTCGTTCCTTTTCGGGATCTTGCAATGGAATTAAGACTCTTTTCTTTATTCTAATTTTATGAAGAGAGCCCTGGCATGTGATCATTTTTTGCGGTTTGACCAAAAATCTGTTTTTTTTTGGAAAGGAAAAAGATTATGGTTTCCAAATACTAAGCTGTTTGCAAAGTGGCTGAAGTGATTTCTGCGATATAGACTGTGAGAAAAAAGTTCAATTTGCACTATGGAATTTACGGCTTTTTGCACCGGGCAAATGGCCTTTTGGGCTGTCGCTCGCACCCGGACTTTTTTTCTGCATAGCACAGCATTCCGAGCATTTTTCGCCGCCGATTGGTGTTCAAAAAAATGAAAAAATAAAAAGTGGTTATCACGTTTTTATACGTGTACGGCTAACCAGAAGATATACCGGCAAAAAAATCCGTATGAATAACCAATTTCCTTTCAGAATATATAAATTTTGTCACCGGAATGCTCGCTACCGTTGAGAAAATCGGCACTGAAAAAACCGAAATTACGACTATCAGTCTGCCCTGAAAATATTGAGCAATGTCGCTGCGCCAATCGCGGAGGTGAAAAGCCATTTGATTTTACTGTGACACAATTAACTTTTTTCGGCGAGACGCGATTGCGACAGAGCTCATTATTTTCCCGATCCAAACCATAAGGCTTGACTTACCGTAGATTTTTTGTGCTGTCGCTTTCAACCTAACTTTTTCCGCACAGTTCAGATCAAAAATCACTCCAGTCAGTTCACGGTAGGTATCAGCCTGTCGGGAAAATAATGAGTACGCTGTGGCTTCGAGGATCGCATCGTCGCCGAGAAAATGAATTGTATCGCGGAAAAATAAAATTGCTTTTCACTTCAGCGACGCGATTTTTGATGCGACGTGGCGCGCATTATTTTCCCGACAGACTCATAGGAAATCGGAAGATAAGAAGTTTTTTGAGATGTCGTTTACGCCCTGACCTTTTCTGGACAGCGCAAGCTCCAAAGATCACCGCAGCGACTTGGTGAACGGTCTAGTAAGGTACTCTAAATACGATCCTTAGAATTTTATAATATTGTATCTAATTTGGTACAAATTTAGACGAAGTTTTTTTGTAAGTTTATTAACTGACAAGGCAAGTTAAAAATCTCGCCTTGTTCTTCTAAGTATCCAACCAAATTTTTGCGCTCAATATCATAAAGATATGAGCGTCAAACATTGAACACTTCCCTGTTAGGAAATCCAATTCAAAATCCTTGCCTATCGTCATCACCTTTGCTTTTACGCTTTGATTTCATTAGCCAGTGTGTAAAAAACGTTATGAATAAAGACTCCTTTGCACCCGGCTTCCATTGCACGACTTTAATCAAATTAAACAACTTTCGCTTTAATTAACACCCGAGTCCGTCCTCTCTTCTCTCTCGCGGGTTTAAATCTCGCAGATTCTGATTATTTTTTCAGATGTAAACATGTTTTAATTTTAATGTCACTGCCTTTGAGAAGGGGGGCTTTCGTGTTTTGTGGGCTGCTAATTTGGAATATGGTACGTGTAATGTAAATACGAAGGGGAGGAGGGCGTTCCGAAGCGCTGTAAAAGCGGCGGTAGGGAGAATAACAAGGTTTATGAGTTGAAATTGCGATAAAAATTTTATTTTTGGGGAAGAATAATGAAAATCTTGACGCTACGACTTTTTTGGGCCAGCGATGCTTTGCGTTGCAATTATTCGTCATTTCATGCATGAAGAAGGTTAGAAGAAGGCATAGTTCATAGAAATAATAAGTCTGTTCAGGTCCTAGGATAGTTTATCATCTATTTTGAAGCACTTTAGATGTATTACTACAATTAGATCCAGAAAAAAACTTACGGCTCTTCGTATCTTGGAGCAAGTTTTGATCTGCTATGTGCTACAACAGCTCAAGGTCAAGAAAACTGTGGTTAAAAATAGCTAAAGTTAGTGGCACTGTGAGTCTTCGCCGAGCATTCAACGGCTTTCCCAGGCCTCGTAGGCATCTCCTACAACCCTTTTTTGTAGTTTTTCTTCATACACTACCTAGGGCTCCAACATCCACTAGGTCACCAGTAAGGATCGATCTGCGAAAAATGTGACATAAAAGTTGATCGTAGTCTTCGTCAAGTCTCCGCCGAGCATCCGCGCAGCATCCTTCGGCTTTTCCAGGCTTCTTATACACCTCCTACAACCTTTTTTTGGGGTCTCCGCCTGCCCTACGCCTCGTATCGGTCGATCTTATTATGTTGACCCGAGCTGTTATCGACTCGAAAAGTCCGAGCGCAAAAATTCAAAAATTTTGCTTTGCCACTTGTGTCATGCATCTCTGTGTGAAAAATTCACCTCGAGCTCCTAAACGTATGTTGAAGAAAAGCTAATTTGATTAGCATCAAAATTAAACGGACTCTCTTTAATGCAGCTGGTCTGTCCAACCTGTGGCTTTCAAAAGACTAACGAGTCCGTCTTTCCCCTTTTTTTACCTAACTTACCTGCCAAAAACGGTGGAAATATCATACGTTTTCTGTTTTTTTAGAATACGATGACTCCGATAGCATTCAAAATTTAGGATTCTAATTAACTCGAGATTATCGTTATTCAAGCCATCCTCAAGATTTTTAATTAGTGTTTTGAACGTCAAAAGCTGCCGTGTTCCTTGTGGATATTAGAGTCGCTAATCTGGAGGATGAATCAACGGAAATTTGTGGGAATTTTGGCGGAACACATCTAGAATTCTCTATAAGCCTGATTAGTGCTCTCTTATGTAACTTTTTTTTGTCCAAATCTATAAATGTTTTATAAACCATCGCGGTAGCAACCTTCTTCTTTGATGCCTAAACTAAGGTTAATTTGGGGTTGGAATTTGAGTGTTTTGAACAGCAAAATTTGACTGTTGATGTTGGCAATTGTAGGTCAGAAATAGCTTGCATATTTTGTTTTTCAATAATGTTGTTTTCATTAGCGAGCTTTTGGTACAACTTTGCACAAACTGAGGGAAGTACCCCCAAGTGCGACACTCATATTTTCTTCAAAGTTTGCATACGCTTCGAGCATAGAGAAACTGTCAATTCCTCAACGCTTTAGCTTGCGCTTTAAAGGCACAGCCGAGATATTCAACGATCTTTGCGGCCGAGAGAGTACGCTAAACGCGGAGAGTGGTCAGAGAGAAAACAAAACTTTTTGGCCATAACTTTGCCAGTTTCTTGCGGAAAAACTTCTTTTTAGCCGAAACATTACGGTAGAAGAGGCGTGCAACTTTTCGTGCCGAAGGTCGACAAGAAGTATAAAATTTTCGTCGGTTTTCGACCTAAAAATCTCGGTGGTTTCTGCAAAACGCGAGATAGGATTGTCGTATATTTGTTTGAAAAAATTATTTTAAATTCATGTCAGGTTTCATAAGAGTTCGAAGTTCGAAGCCCGGTGATTTTTCCATGGCAAATTACACCGATAAAGTCATCCTTTTTGAGTTCTTACAACATATTGCTGCGCTTTGGCCTTTTGATCCTCTCTTCCCTATTTTTGTCGCTTGTACGCAACGCTGAGACCAAAAAATAAGTCGTCAACTGCTAGATTACACTTCTTCATCCCTCTGACCCTTGGCCAAACCATGGCCAAAAGTCAAAGGTTTCACCCCCTTCTCGAATAATCTGTTTGTTTCTGCGCTGCGGCCATATTTCGTGTTCCCACTTTTAATAACCCTGTTTACTGCGGTTTGTAAAGTACAAGTGGAATTTGCGGGAAATACCATGAGATTACATGGGAGAAATGTTTGTCGAATTTCGAAGGGGTGCTAGTGTTTTAGAAGGGGGACAGGGAATCGTTTTACAGAGGGAGTACGCCGATTTCGACGCTTACATTTTGATGAAAAATGGGGCAAATTTAGAATAATTTTTTCTATGTAAGAAACATGCTAGACTCCCAGCTCGCGCTTTGCAGAAACTGCCGGGATTTTTAGGTCCAAAATTAAAAAAAATTGACACTTTTTTTCGAATTTTGGCATGAAAAGTTTCATGTCCATTTCTACCATAGAGGATAATATCTTCACAAAAAATTAATTTTTTCTGTGCGAAGATGGCTAAGATATAGCCAAAAAATATCTCTCTCCTACCGCTCTCAGCGTTTGGCGTAGTCTCTCGACTGCCCCTGCAAAATACAGGCAAACATTTTTAAGAATTGATATTTGCCTGTACTCAAACCGTGCGCATAGTGAAAAAATAAAAAAAATCATCAAAAATTTGCTCACCTTCATGTTAAAAAATCTCAATCTTTTCTGAAAAGTGGCAGTCACAGTTTTTGAAAACTTTCATCGTCTCATACAGTGGGAGGCCTGATCCAGTGGCAAAAAACGTACCATTTTGCATCCGGGAAGTATCAAAAATGTGGCAAAATGTTTCCCTCTCCAAGAGAAAAAACTTCATTTTAAAGAACGCGCCCTTTTTCCTCAAAAAAAGAACAGCGGGCGCGCTTTTGAAATCTGAGTTTTTTCACTTGGAGAGGGAGGTATTTTGCTACATGTTTTGATGCTTCCTGGATGCAAAATGGCACGTTTTTTGCCACTGGATCAGGTCTCCCACTGTAATTTTAAAAATAATACTAGTCCTTCTGCAAAGTCGTCGGACTGAAATCGGCAGCATGCACAGTGCGAAAACAAAATTTCACTTCGCACTGTGCAATTTCGTGTTTTTTGGCCGGCCTGATAAAACTCTATTTTACGATGATTCATATCCCGGCATATCTTTTTTTTGTAGCTTTTTGTTGCCGTTTATCTTTAACATTTTCTCAACGACTCGCTTACTTACCACAACTTTACTTCCAGACCGATGTAGAGCCGGATTTGGAGCTGATGAAGGAGCAGATTTGTCTGCTCCAAACCCGCCTAAACGACTCGGATTTGAGGGCCAGAAGAACGGCCAAGGAGCTGCTGGAGACTGCCGAATTCATCGAGCAACAAGAGGAGATCGGAAACGCTGAGTTGTGCGCCATTGCGGATGATTTGAGAGAGATGGCGTTGAGTTTGAGGAGTGATATGCAATCGGAAATGGAGAGGAGACGGGCGAATAGTATTGTAAGTTGTGTTTTCAATAGAATTGGGGTTGGAACGCTGAAGCGGCACGTGTTAAAAATGCATACAAAACAACCACAAGGTCTTTCAAGAAACGTGAAGAAAAGTCGGGGAGTATAGCTTCCGGCGGAGGCGGCGCAGTGACTTCGTTTCTGGAATATGTATCTTTATGCGACATTGGTTTTCGTCTATGAAATAACAAGATTTTAAAGTGCAAACTAAGGCCCATAGGACCTTTTGAAGCAGGGCCCTTTTACCCCGAAAACCAGTGTTTTTTTTTATTTACAAGGGAAGTACCCCAAGTGCGACGCTCATATTTTCTTTAAATTTTGCACACACGTCGGGAATAGATTAAATATCAATTCCTGAAAGTTTTAGCTCGCGCTTTGCAGGCGCCGCCGAGCAGGGGTGGTCGGCGGCCCGGCCCAAACGGGCCGGCCGGCCTCAAAAATGGAAATTGACAAACGGGCCGGGCCCGTCACGGGCCGGGCCGGGCCGCGGGCCTGGGGTTTTTTCCGGCCCGGCCCGTCTAAAATACAATGCCAAACCGTTGGCATTCATTGTTTTCGCGCCGGGAAAATTAATTGATGTTGTTATAGTTGCTGTTTCTCAAGTTCTAACACGTTTACAAGTCTATAGTTCCATTATAGAACCACAAAACTATCACATTGATCCTTTACTAGCTAGATCAACGCCTTTTTTGCCTCAGTTTAGATCCCGAGCCTGGGCGCAGTTCGCAGAACCCTCCATAGACGGGCCTGCACGGGCCGGGCCGGGCCAGGCCCGTCACGGGCCGGGCCGGGCCGGGCCGCGGGCCGAAAATCGGAAAAATAGGGTCTGCTGACCACCCCTGCCGCCGAGATATCGGACGATTTATGCCGCCAAGAGAGCACGCTAAACGTGGAGAGCGGTCAGAGAGAAAACAGCTTTTTGGCCATAACTTTGGCAGTTCCGTGCGGAAAAATTTGATTTTTTGTAGAAACATTATCCTTTACGGTTGAAATAGGCATGAAATTTTTCGTGCCGAAATTCGGCAAAAAGTCCTAAATTTTCGCCGATTTTCGATCTAAAAATCTCGGTTGTTTCTGCAAAGCGTGAGCTAGGATTCCCGCATATATCTTCGAAAAAATTGTTCTAAATTTGTACCAAGTTTCATCAAAATCTGAGCGTCGCACTTGGGGTACTTCCTCTGTCAGTTGCGACTGCAATATTTGAAGTTGAATTTTTCAGAGCTGATTTGTGGACTAGACAGAAGACCAAATTTCGGGAAAATCCGAGAATTTTATTTTTGAGCACCTCCCTTCGAAAGGATAAAATAAAAATTTTTTTGATGATTATTATTATTGGTTATATTTTAGGTCGCTTTTGCGTTCAAAGTTTACGAAATAAAATTTTTTTTTTCAGAGTCGCCGAATGACAGCCGAGCACTTCCAGTTGGTCCAAATGAATCAAGAGGGCCAAGCGAACCAGGCCAAATCAGTGGCCCCCAAATCCGGAGAAATGGTCGAATTGCACTTTGGGAGGAAGAAAAATTTCTAAAATTTGTCAAATAATTTTTTTTATTTGTTTTTTTTCACCGCCATTCAAATTTTCAAGCTGTTTTTTTTGTTAATTTTCCAAAATTTGAATGCTTATTACGGCCCGTACAAGATTTATGGGTAAAATATATCACAGTCTTTTCTCCATATCGTCGTTTTCGATGTGGATATCCAGTTTTAATCGTTATTTTAAAAAAAAAATTTTTTGGTTTAGAAATATTTTCCCGAGTTTTCCAAAAAAAATCTCTATAGAATTTCGGGTTGGGTGGTAATGCCATATGCTGAATGTAAAAAAATAGTGTAAATTTTAATATTTTGTTTTTTTTGAAAAAAAATTTGAGATTTTTAAATTTTTTATGCGAAAAATTTCGATTTTTTCTCGGCAAAAATTCATAAAAAAATTTTTTTTTTATTTTTTTTCTGAGATTTTTAAAAAAAAATTGGAATTTTTTGCAATTTTTTCGAATTTTTTTCAATTTTTTATCGAATTTTTTATGAAAATTTTTCCGGTAAAAAAATTTTTTTTTTTGATTTTTTAGGCGAAAATTTCGACTTTTTTCTCAGAAAAACCTGTAAAATTTTTTGGATTTTTTTTGCGATTTTTCGATTTTTTTCAATTTTTTATCGAATTTTTTATGAAATTTTTTCCGGTAAAAAACATTTTTTTTGATTTTTAGGCGAAAATTTCGACTTTTTTCTCAGAAAAACTAATAAAATTTTTTGGAATTTTTGCGATTTTTCGATTTTTTTTGAATTTTTATCAAATTTTTCCGGTCAAAAATTCCCTAGTTTTACTTCGAAATGGGTAGAAATCCTTTTTCCAAACTGCTTAACTTTGTATAGTAATCATTAGCAATATTTCCGAGTCTCGTTTTAGCATTCCATCTTGACATTTTGTGTCTTTTTTTGGCATCGTATGTTGGCCCAAATTGTTAATTCGCTGCAACCAGGACATCGGCGGGCTTCGGTGCGTCGTATCATCGTATTTTTTATTGTGTATTTTGTAACTATTGTTTCGAGTTTTTGCTGTTTTATTTATTGACTATTTGGGCACAAACGAAATAAAGACCGGTCAAGAGAGTAATTTTATTTGTTTTTTTGGGATTTTTTTGTACAAAAACTTTAAAAAAAATCTTTTTTTTTAATTAAAATCTCAATTTACACTCAAAAAAAACCCAATTTTTTTTATAATTTACTCATTTGTACAAAATCCAAGTAAAATTTGATGAAAAATAATAAAAAAATAAAACAAAATCCAATTCAACATTCTGATAACATATTCTAATGGGGTAAAAATTACAATTTTACGGGTTATGGCAATAAAATTCTGAAAAAATGGATTCCAAATTTTAAAATACCCATTCTTTGGATTTTGAGGGCCCTTTGAAGGGGAAATTCAAAAAAAAAATAATCAAAATTAATATCTAAATTGACAACAATCAAAAACAAAAATTTTTGAGAGTAAAGGCAGTATTCTAACTGTAAAATTAGTGGCTAAAGTAATGATAAATGCAAAAAATTTTGTTAAGAAAATTAAAAGTTAGTACAATTATTACAAACAATCATGTCACCCGAGTTGTGTGTGTAAAACTAAAGACTGAGAGAGGGTCGGAGATTGATTTTACAGGATATCCGAGGATTTGAAAGGAATTTTGAGTACTTTTGGATGAAAAATTATATTATACTAGGCAAATGAGGTCAAAATTTTGATGTCTTTGTTCTTTTAAATTAACATCATAACAAAAATAGAGCTTAAAACATCTCTAATGACTATCGTCGACAGCTAAAAGCATCAAAAATAGCCAAAATTATCAAAATTTACATTATTTTAGATTAAACCAGGTCCAAAACCTTTTGTAATACCGAAACTACTACATCAAATACCTTCTAAAATCCATCTCAGATCTTAATTTACCTTAAAATATCCAAACCACTTAAAAAATCATCAAAAATCGACCTCATTTTATCCCACCTAACCTAAAGTAATATAAATTTTTTCTCAAAAAATCCCTTCAGCTCCTTTGATATCCCGTCAAATCCTCTCCACTTCCCTTATAAAGCTATGAGACTTATTAAAACTCTGAGAATTCGCCGGTATGATCATAAATTATCTTCTCCATCAGACATGTGTGGAGAGGCGTGAGGCAGTTCGTTGTAGGTCATCCTGCGGTGTCACAATCTCCGGGAGCGTGTCCAGGGGTGCTACATTCAACTGGCGGACTGTGACGTTGTTGCGGTTGGGGTAAACGCCCACACAAACATCATTTCCGAGGACTGAAAAAACAACCATGAATAATATAGCAAAAAATTTTAAAATCTCAAAAATTAATCTTCCGAATTGCTTCAAACTTTCCATTCTTCAGCCTCAAGCTCTAAACTCTCTAAACTTACCAGGAGATTGACTGTAGCTTCCGTACGCGCCGGGTTCTATCCGAATTGGTCGATTATTGTCCGCATAATCGTAGGTTGCCTGATAATAACTGCCATAAACCGGCGGTGGGAGGTAATCCAGGTCCGGATTACTCTGCGGAACTGAGATGTAGTCTTTGCGGAGGATGTCGGAGCCGGAATGAGGGGAAGGGAACATGTTTGTAAAGTATTCTTGGGCGTCTTCATCGAGCGCTTCGCATCGAACCGTGACGTCGGAACAGTCTAAAAAAATTGAATTTTTATAAATATCAGAAGAATAAAAATGCCACAAACAGAATTCTTGGCCCATAACTGGTCTCATATTACCATATTTCAGAAAATTTTCCGTAAAATAAAAAAAAATTTTTTTAGGTAATAAATTTTTTTTATCTAAAATAAGGTCCAATTTCTCCAAAAAATCCCAAACTCACCACTAAATTTGGTTGGTTTTATACTCTCATTCGATCGGCACTTCCTACAGCAGCAACAGCATCTCCAAATGAGGCAAGAGGCCAGTAACAACATGAATATTGCCATGATGATGATCCAGACGTACCATGGGACGGCGACGAACCATTGGAATATTGTCTTCTCTAAAAATTACAAATAATCCTGAGCCATGAAACGCGTATTTTACAAAAAAATGGAAGAAAAATTAAAGTTATCAATTTTTAATGGAATTTCCAGAAAATCCGTCATGATGACATGCTTAAATTTCAAGAAATTCTAAAAACAAATTATACCCATGAAACCGTACGATAGTCAGCACCTTCAAAAAAATTTTTCATCGAAAATTACAGTAACCCACCCAGTTTTGTAATCATCGATGACGTATTTTCTAGAATTTAAAATTTCACCAAAAAATCCCAAAATTCAAAAAAAATTTTTGCGCCAACTTGAACTTAAACTCAAGCTAACTTCAAAAAGATTTTTTTCATTACAAAATTACCACTACTTACTAATATTTTCCCACACAGTTTTCTGAGTGACCCGAATGTGGGCGGAGCTTGCGCCAAATTCATTCCAGGCGGTGCAATTGTAGGTTCCGTAGTCCTTTTCGGTGACTTTGGTGATTGTAAGTTTGGATTCCACTCCATAGTCAGTTTGAACTTCGTCAAGGCCCAAACGACCTTGAGCCAGGTTGTAATTGAGCTCTCGGTCATTGATGTACCACAAAACCTTGTTGGGAGAGGGCTTGGCTCGAACCTGACAAGATGAAAAAGTAAAAATTGTGCCTCTATTTGAAATTGCAAATAATTTGAGAGTCACTCAGCTCATTTTTCAATCAAAACGGGTCGCTAAACCGACTTTATATTCCCATGACCCAGTTGAACGTCATGGATAATATAACTAATATTTTGTACATATAACTAGAAAAAATCGCTGAAATACCACGCTTAATGCTCTTTCAAGCCAATTTTGTTTTTATATTACCCAGAAATACCGTCTTTCGCCATCCAGCACCTTATCTTATCCATGACCCACCTGAATCTCATGGATAATATAACTACTGCCGTAGGTCTCAAAGCCCCTCTAAACCAAATAAAACACCATTCAAAACCTCCACACTTTCTATTCCACCCATAAATTCCCAAAATTTCTCCAAATTTTATATTACACTACCTTGCATCGCAACTCGATCCTCCGGCTATTCTGGATCGGTTCCTCCAGCGTGATGATTGGTGGTCCTTTCATATGCAAATAGTGGGTTAATCGGGCCGGTGGGAAGCCGGGGCTCTTCGCCATGCATTCATATTCTCCCACATGCCAGGCATGCACCGAGTCCAATGTCAAAGTGGGTCCTTTGGCGATGGGTTCGGTGGTTTGGGTGGTGTGAATTCCCCGACGGAACCATAGGACTGTCGGTTTTGGATTTCCAACAGTTTCGCACTGGAACGAGACGCTCTCTCCGCGCTGGACGATCTGGGTTCGCGAGGTGGACATCATCTTTGGGGCGTCTGGAAAAATGATGATAAATTTTGAAAATTTTGATGTAAAAACATGGAAAAGGGACTTCAATTGATTCCTCTTTACTCCAAACTTCTTTCAGAGCCACTAAAATCCATTAGAAAAGTCAATACCACCAAAATTTTCAAAAAAAATCAAAATTTGCTCAAAAATATTGTAAAACAAGGTCGTAACTGTCCAAACAAAGGAGAAATCGTTGTTAAAATCATGTATTATCCACCTCAAATTCTCTTAACCACACAAAAAATCAACTTTCAATATTCCCAGCGCATATTTATATCAAAAATTCTAAGATCTGAATAACCACAGGTCATCTAACCCTAAAATAAGGTCAAATGAAAAAAAAAAATTTGGCCTCAAATTTTGTGCCAACTAATATCGAACCTTCTAAATACTATTCATATTCCATTAAAAACATTATCAACCAAAATCCCCATCAAAAATGAAGTAAAAATCAAAAATTCATCAAAAATAATGTAATACAATATTCAAACCCTCCAAAAAAGCCTCTCAAATCGCCTTCAATTCCCTCCAAACTCTGCCCATTCCCTCTTGCAGTCCTCAACTTACAATGAATGCTGATATTCATGCTCCCTCTACTCTGGCCAATCTTATTTTCAGCGATACAAGTCACATGATTCGCATGATCTTCCATGCTCAAGTTCTCGATGACCGCCGTTTTTGAGTTCAATTCTTTCAATCGGTCGCCGTACTTGGCCCAGTAGACTCTCGTATCTCCGGGTTGAGCGTCCACCAGGCAGGAAAACATTGCTCTTCCGCCTTCTCTTAGGTCCGACTGTTTTTCGTCGAGTACAACTTTGACTTTGGGTTTATACTGGACGTTCAGAAGCTGGGCGCGAGTGTGGGCTCGGCCACCAAAAGTTGGATGAATGGCCATGCAGGAAAGGTACTTTTTGTCGTCGAATTTCGTTGGGATAAATCTGAAAAAAATATGAAAATTAGAACACCCAAAATTTCCCAAAAATCCCAAAAAATTTGCATATTCAAGCAAAAAATCATCTCAAAATGCCTCCATAACCTTTTATTAGGCCCATTCTACTGTAAATTCAATCATACTCCCAAAAAACCCGGCGTCGCGACACTTGCGGGCAACCACTTTGCGGGCAACCAGTTTGCGGGCAAATTTTTTGCGGGCAGCCACTTTGCGGGCAAAATTTGGGGGGTCACATTTGCGGGCAGCTGAAACATTTGCGGGCAGCTGAGACACTTGCGGGCAGCCTGGGACACTTGCGGGCAACCGACACTTGCGGGCAGCCGACATTTGCGGGCAACCGGCACCTGAGGGTTACAGGGTGGAGGTGGAAATATTACTGCGATATTTCGGAAATTTGCCGACATTTGCGGGCAGCCGACACATGCGGGCAGCCGACATTTGCGGGCAACAGGAAAAAACAATCACACAGACTGCATAGGAACCTTTGGAACTGTTGCCCGCAAATGTCGGAAAACTTCCAAAATATCGAACTAATTTTTCCACCTCTACCTTGTTATCCTCAAGTTCCGGTTGCCCGCAAATGTCGGCTGCCCGCAAATGTCGGCAAATTTCCAAAATATCATATCATAGTAATTTTTCCACGTCCACCTTGTTACCCTCACAATCAGGTGCCGGTTGCCCGCAAATGTCGAGTGCCCGCAAATCTTCCAGGCTGCCCGCAACTGTCGACCCTGCCCGCAAATGTCCCAGGCTGCCCGCAAATGCCGGTGCTGGCCGCAAATGTCGGCTGCCCGCAAAGTGGCTGCCCGCAAAAAATTTGCCCGCAAACTGGTTGCCCGCAAAGTGGTTGCCCGCAAGTGTGCGCCCGCCAAAAACCCACTCTTTTCCCTTGTTTCAGACAAAAATACGGCAAAATACCACAAATTTCCCCCAATTTCTCACCTTAACGTCGAAGTAATGCTGACAAATCCGTCATCGTCCTCCTCCGTGTCTTCCAGGACACTAAGATCATAATTTCGTTGGTTTCGAACCGGATTAATCCCAATTTCTTTTAGGACATCACTAGCATTGTTAATGTAGGCAGCGATTCTTTGGCCCTCCTTGTCCATCGAGATAACCCACACAATTCGAGCCGCTGGTTTCCCGTGATTTACAGTGCACTTCGCTTGTAGTGGGATGTCTTCGACGGCTTCGATCGGCTCGGCTTTTTGATTTTCGATGGTGAGAAAAGGGCCCTTGGGGGTGGCTAAAATAAGGTCAAATTGGAGATGAAATAAAGTCATAATATGCATAAACTAAAATTAAAAAGTTGCAGTGATCCTTGAAAATTATTTTCCGACCGATTAACAACCATTTTATCACTAGTTAAGCCCGCAGCGATCAATTCTATATTACTCATGACATCCAAATGTTTCATGGAAACAAAAGGTATGCAAAGCAAAAAAATTCATTCAAATCGGTTTTAAAAACTCATGTTTTGCATTCGTAAACACATTTACCATCAGCAATTCATAATTTCCACCTCAAAAATCATGTTATATTATCCATGCCACAAATATGGATCATGGGTAATATAAGGCGCAAAACTGTTCAAAAATCTTTTGTTAACCCTATAAAACACCATTCACTACTTCCTAAAAGCCTTCTAACACTACTTCACCTTAATTTCCCACCAATAAAACTTCAAATTACATCAATATATCACTTTACATTATTGATGCCATCAAGTTTTCTGATAAATAATATAAGCTATCCAGAGTCTAACAAGGGATCGGCAAAAGCGCGCATCCTGGTTTTTTCTTGAAACATATACCATTTGAAAGAGCGTAAAAAACTGGTCTAGGATCACCTTTTATTAGCTGCTATTTTTGCTCTACGCCCTAGCTAGCGAGCATTTTTTTAAAAATCCCGGTTGGATTTCACGACTCTTTGCTTCTTAACGGCTAAAAAGATTCAATAATAACTTTTCATATGTCCCATACGTACCTATGACGTCCAACGCTTCACCCTATGCCAAAGAATACACATTTTTTTTCCGACTTTGAGATACCCAAGTCCATGTTCACAATGTGTTACTACGCGATCTTTTAGGCCGTGTAACCCAATGCAACATAGCGGGTAGAAAACGTGTAAACCGTTTTCAGACTCAGTTTTCACGTACTTTCCGATACTGGGCTTAATTCGTAAAAATCTGAAAGTCGTTGAAAGTTCCAGCCATAGAAGATACCCACTTCAAGGGCAAGTACTAGAAATTCGAAAGAATTTAAGAAATCTCCGTTTTTTCTTAAAAAAAACGACTCCGATTATACCACAAATGTCTATACGACACTCAAACACTATTTCCAGGCCTTATTTGGTTTGCAATAAAAAGAAAATCAAAAAAAAATCAAAAGAGGTTTCGAACCCGGTTCGCAGGTTCGCCTCGTCCAGCGCCTTACCCCACTAGGCCACCGAAGCACTGCTGCGCTGTGCTTTGGAAATCGTTCGGATTTGTTTCCTCGGAAAAAGGGTGAGATAAGCCTAGAAATAAAGAATGCTCGCTAGCGAAGGCGTAGAGCAAAAATAGCAGACAATAAAATGTGATCCTAGACCAGTTTTTTACGCTCTTTCAAATGGTATATGTTTCAAGAAAAAACCAGGATGCGCGCTTTTGCCGATCCCTTGTAAGACTCAATCCAAAATCTCTCCTATTCAATCGCAAATATCCTATTCTGCCATGATCACTACCAAAATTCCAAAAAAATACGGTAAAATACGCCATAGCACATCAAACTTCTTTTAATCCCCATTACAATACAACTTCCTCTCCAAAATCTTTCAAAACTCACCCAAAACCCCAAGATAAGCCGGTTCTGATATTACAGCCGGATTTTCCTCCGCCCAAAGGAGTTGGCATTCATATGCACCGTCATCGTCGAGGGTTGCGTTCTGAATTTGCAAGTGATATTCTCCATTGGCGGTGCTGCCGACCATTTGATATCGTTTGAAGAGTTTCATGTCTCGGTCTGTGCCCAAGCCAAAGCCGTCTTTCGTCCATTGAACCGCTCCTCTCTGGAAGAAATTGATTTTTCCAATTGAATCGGAGATTTTTTGAAAGAAAAAGTCAATTCTCGGTATAAATTTTTCGAAAAATTTAGGCCAGGAGACACCGTATTTTACAACAACCAAAAAATTTGGAATAGGCCTTGAAATTTATTTTTGATCAAAATTTGCAATATCTTCATAAAAAATTTTTACTCTAATCGGCCGAAATTTACTTTTTTCGGGCAAAAATCCAAGATTTCCTCAGTTTTCTTGTTTTCTTTTTAATTTTCGTAGGGAAAAATTTTATAAACTCGTATTTTACATCCATCTAAAAGCCTGGAACATACCAGACCATCCGGAAAGTCGACTGAAATCGGCGACACGGACTTTGGGAAAACAAAAGTTTTCTTTGCATTGTGCAATTTCTTGATCTTTGCACCGTGCAAAAGGCTTTTTCGGCTGTCGCTCCTAACTGTTTTTTGCACAGTGCAAACGTCAAAAATCAGTCCAGCGACTTTGAGGACGGACTTGCCCTTTCGGAAAGTCGCTAGACTGATTTTTGGCGTTTGCGCTGTGCGAAAAAGAGTCAGGATACGAGGACAGCCGAAAAAAGCCTTTTGCACGATGAAAAAATCAAGAAATTGCACAGTGTAAAGAAAATTTTTGTTTTCCCAAAGTGCGTGTCGCTGATTTCAGTCCAGCGACTTTTCGGACGGACTACAGTGAGGGACCGGATCCAATGGCAAAAAAAGTCTCATTTTGCATCCCGGAAGGGACCAAAATGTCTCCAAACCCTTCCCTTTTCTAAGCTAAAAAACCGATTTGAAGAGCCCGCCTTGAAAGAAAGGGCGCGCTTTTCAAAGCGGAGTTTTTTAGCTTAGAGAAGGGAATGGTTTGGAGTCATTTTGGTCCCTTCCGGGATGCAAAATGAGACGTTTTATGCCATTGGATCCGGTACCTCACTGTAGTATGTCCCAGGCTTTTAGATGGATGTAAAAAACGAGTTTAAAAAAAATTTTCACTACGAAAATTAAAAAGAAAACAAGAAAACTGGAGAAATCTTGGATTTTTGCAAGAAACAAAATGAATTTAGGCCCATTTGGGTATCCTCAAATCTATTTCTGACTCCTTTCTCTCTAATTTTTACGCAATTTTTTGTCAAATCAGTCAATTTTTTGCAAAATTGAACCGATTTTCTCTCAAATTCGTATTTTATAAGCCTTTAAAACTTCCAGAAGACTCTCTGTCTTCCTTTTCTGACTTCTTCTCTCCCATTTTTATGCAAATTTTTGTTCAAATCGGCCAAAATTTCTCTCCAAACGGCCAATCTTTGGCGTTTTCTTCCATCTTCTTTTGTTTTCTTTCGATTACCGGAAAAAGTCGATTACCCCGCAATCGGCGGAGCCCCCTGAACTAAGCGGCAATGCTTTTTTCGTTACAAAAACGGCGCGCTGACAAATTACGGAGGGGTTTTCTTCTTTCCGTTCCGATTATCGGGCTCGGAAATGGGATTAAGATCACAGTGATCGATGGGGCCAAATGCCGTTTGTTTATTCAAATAAAGTTTCGGCAGGGTTGCGCAATCCCGTCAATATTGATGGAAATCAAAAATTGAGGGGGGAAATCGAGCGGGAAGATCGATTTCCATCTGTTTCTCGATGGATTTATAAGGGAAGGCAAAGAAATTATTGCAAAATATTGTAAAATACAAGGCAATCTTCGACTCAACGCACTGGAAAAAATAATTAAAAGACAAGAAAAGCCCGTATTTCAGCAAAAAATCTCATTTTTCATCAAAATTCGCCAAAAATTTATATTAATTTAGATTTCTTCTCAAAAATAAAAATTTTGAATTTTTTTTTATTATTTTAAGTAAAAATTATATTAAAAAATACGTATTTTACCTTCAAATAGTCTACTTTTTTTCTTCAATTTTCCAAAATTTCAAATTTTTTTTGACTTTTTCCAAATTATTCCCAGTTGCGCAATAGCTCCGGGACATCCGGCTCGGAGCTATTTTTCTTTGCCAAATTTGCATCGAAGAAGCCGCCAAGAAGAAGCAAAGAGACTTCGGGGGATTCGCGGTCTTTGATTTGCGGTAATTGGCGGAAGCCGCACTATGCGGTAAAAAATGGAGGAAAAACGGGCAAAAATCGACCTTTTATGTATTTTAACCACTAATTAACAGTCCTATAATTTTGAAAACACCATCTTCTTACTTTAGTGACATCAAAATCTTATTCATCCCAAAAAAATTTTTAAAAAAATTAATTTTTTTTTCAAATTTAATGTCAAGTATAATATAAAAATGTCTCAAATTCGTAATTCTCACCTGATTCTCCACTCGACATCGTAGTAAGGCTGATTCTCCCAGATGTACTGTAGTATTTTTCGGGGCTTCGGCGATTTTTTGTATTGCCCATGCGCACTGTGCGAGGAATAAAAACAGCGGCCAAAGGGCTTTTTGGCCCATTCTGAAAGTAAAATACGCTGCTGTATGCTATATCAAGGTCAAAAAAAAAACATTACACAGCTTTTCACGGCAATTGGATTTATCTCAAACCCAAAAAAAATGACCAAAAATCCCAATTTTACACTAAAATCAATAAAAAAAAATTGTAAAATACGAAAGGATCACATTTAAACCTCATTTAAAAAGGAGTGCTTATCATTAGACATCTTTTTAGCACCTCCTACAGGCATTGTTGAATCCCAGGACCACACATTAAGACACGCAAAGATTACAAATCATGCCAAAAAAATGTTGGCAAAAGTCGTGGCCCACACCCTCCGGGGCTGACGACAATGGGCCCAGAAATGGGATTAGGCGCGAATTTGTCAAGCCCCAACTGGATTTGCGATTAAATATGTGACTAATTACATTTTGGAAGGGACTTCAGTCGAGTGGTGTAAAATGAGTAATAGTTTATGAAATAATGGAGAGTCTGGTGTTGGAAATGATGAAATAAGGTGTTGAATAGGATGAGGAAACCATAAAAAGGCATTAAAATGCAAGCTTACATTGTTTTTCGGTTAAATTTTCGAAATTCGCCATTTTTGGGACAAAAATCTGCAAAAAATTCAAAAAACTTTCAATTTCTACATTTTTCCAACAAAAAATCGGTAAAATTTTTCCTCTAGTATCACAACCGAACCTTAACTCTTCCAAAAACCACAATTCCCCCACAAAATAACAATATTTTTCCACCAAACCACCTTCATCTTCACCATGTCCAATATCCCCCAAAATAAGTTCAATATTTCCCCTCGGATTAACAGAAAACAAGTGTAATGCCTTCTGTAAACACTGTCCACAAATGGGTCTGATTTAGGATCCAGAAAGTGGGGGGCCCACTAAACCGGATGTTTTGTTTTCTGCGCGAAAATTAATGAAGACCAATGAAGAAGTCAATTTAAACACTTCATAAGTCGGCGGGCAAATATTACGGCCTTATAGTGGGATGATCGGCGGGTCCGCCCACAATTTGTAAGGGCGAAAACCGCCGCCCTAGTCGCCCTTACAAACCAAAGTTGGGCAGCCAATTTTTACAAATTCTGAATCAGAAAAATTTTGCGATTTTTTTGATATATGTCTCGACCTGTAACTCCATACCCCATAGAAGTACTTTCCCTGTAAAAAAATTTACGAAGGCGACATTTTATACGAAAAATTTTGAAGTCCAAAAAAATCGAGAATTTCTTCAAGAATTCCTTCAGAAAAGATATCCTCCATTGTGGACGGACCCGCCGATCATCCCACGATAAGGCCGTAATATTTGCTACATTATATAATTTTTTTACAGAACAAGCTTCAAGTTTCCCGTATTTTACAATAATCTTCTGTCTTATACCCAAACAACACTCAAAAATTTCCAAAATTTTAAAAATCCCAAAAAATATCCAAACTCCCCCCTTCAAAACCCCATCCAAACTTTTCCAACTCTTCACCTCCACACTCGAAATTTAATTGCGCAACAGGTCCCCCAATCCCATAATGGGACTTCTGCTGCTTAAAAGCGCGTAAAATTTGCATAAAATATGATCCCTGCCCACCCGCTGACTTTCTACCTTGTTCTACACGACCGCGCAGGATATTGGGTGTCCCAAATGGGGCGAGGAAGTTCCGAGGGGGCCAAGGGTAAATTGTCGCGGTTCCAAAATTTCTGCGGAAAGAAAGAAAGAGGAAAAAGGGGAGTCCTGTAAACATTTCGGTGGAAAATGCCAGACTTTCGTATTTTAGCGCAAAAACCGGAGAAACTTTTTGTGAAGATGTGAATTTTGGGGCGTCAAATTGAAGATTAATCTCAAACTTTACTTGTAAATGCTAAATCCTGCTAAATCACAACTTTTTAAGCCATAGTAAGACTAATATTTTCAAAGGGAAAAAAATCCGGGGAGACCAAAAAAAGAAGGTAAAATACGTAAAGAAAATTATGAGTCACAATAAAAATGTGTTTAAATCTGTAGCAAAGAGAATAATCTTCCTTTAGGACACCAATCAGTGTAATGCATAACCCTTTGGATTCCAAATTTATCAAGTTTATATTACACATGACACCAATGTAACAGAAATCGACTTTTGTTATGTAAAACAAATCAACACCCCATTAAAACCTCCTTCAAGGCATAGAAAGCCTCCTTCTACCATCTAAACCTCAAATCCCTCAAAATTTCGTCAAATGTTACCTTATACATCACCTCAACATCTTCTCTACCTCAACATCCCATAACTCCCCCGCCTATGCAAATTACCTACTCCAGACCGAACAAACCGCTATATGATTCCATGCTGACTTCACATCGGTCACTTCTGACATTACTTTCGTCCATAAAACGGATGAAAACGCAAGCCATTAGGGAATGGACACAGGTGAGCGGAGAAATACGCCCGAGGGCTTTAATAATAAATAGTTTGGGCCGGCAAGCCGTGGGAATTTGCATACGAAACCATAAAACAACATGCTACGTGGTGGGAATGCGAGGGGCAAAGGTAATAACAAAGTTGGGCAAAAAATTACTTCTTTTGCCTACTACAATATAAAATAAAAATTTTTTTTAAAGCGGTATGAAATAAGGTCAAAATTATCTAATAAGCCCTACAAACAAGGTTAAGAGGAATCTTCAGCCAGTTCCATTAAATTAAGTGAGAAATTTTTAATTTTTTTTTGCCTACTACAATATAAAATTTTTTTAAAAAACTCAAAAAATACAGAACCAATTATTTAATAAGCTTTGTAGCGGGTTAGTTAGATATTCTTTGGTCTTTTTGCGCCTCTGCCGACAAAAAAAAATCGGGTAGCGGACATTGATTTAGATTAGGCTCCGCCCACTTTTGGCCACCCCCTTCTCGTTAAAAAATGTTTGGTCAAAAAAGCAAATTAGACGTGCCAAAAATACCCAGCTCGTATTTTACCCACCCCACAACAAAAATCTCCACCAATTTTCCCGCAAACATCCCATATATTATCCATATAGGGGTGGTGCGATTTAAAATTTTTCGTCTTGACTGGCAAAAACCCCCGATTTCTTGGCTGTAGGGCCTCCAGCCAAGAATTTGATATTCTTGGCTGAAATTCAGACAGCAATATTTCGTTTCTTGACTGCTTGCTTATTTTTGACTGTAAACCAGCCAAGAAATCAAAAATTGTTGTCTGAATTTCAGACAGCAAATTCTTGCCTGAAACTCAGACAAGAAATCGAAGATTTCTGTCTGAACAGTAGTCAAAATGTTTCTGTTCAGTCAAAAAGAAATTGGCTGGCAACTCAGCCAAGAAATCGAAGATTTCTGTCTGAAGTTCAGCCAAAATCTCTTGGCTCAGCCAAAAAAGAACTGACTGACATTCAGTCAAAATATTTGACTGTGAAAAAATTTTTATATTGACTGGCGTTGTAAATTTCACGGTTTCACGGTATTTAATAAAACAGCGAAAGATCAAGATTTATCACATAATAATAAAAAAATTGATTATGGCCTTAAAACTTGGCAAACGATATAGATCTTGTTTTAGCCGAAACAGTCTAAAACAAGGTATAGTCAAGCGCCGTCTGCCAAAAATCGTGAGGAAACTATACGTGTCTGTGCTTAGGGCTTGATTCCTTGTTGGTTTCAACGGAAATGTGGACTTGGAGAAGGTTTTTCGACCAAAAGTTATATTGCACATGGCAAGTAAAACATTTTGAAACGGCAAAGTTACCTAATACGCTCCCTTTTGACATCAGGAATTGATCAGAAAGCTCATGCAGCACGAAATTTGTCTCCTCGAACGGGTCATTTAGCTAAAACCTCAAAAATCAAACAAATAGTACTCACAATTTGTTTTCTTCTTGGACGTGACCTTTCTGGGTGAGAAATTGGAGTTCCAATGGTGAACGGGACAAGGAAAGTTCCATTTCGTTGTTCCACAGGTCTCCAAAGGTATTTTTGAGCTTTACCTGCCTATAGCCGGATTATTTGACAGGTAACATCTAAAATACGGAGAAATTAAAAACAAAAAAAAAACTAAAAAAGTTAGCCGAAAACGCGTGGAAATTCAAGTGTCCAAGCAATAAGAACAAGAAAGGAGCACGACATCGTGCATTTTCGTTCCTGATTGTTTGATCCCTTCGCGAAAAAATTCACATTTTCGGCCGGAAGTTTTCGTTTTTTTTTGCATGTTTCGTATTCTGGCGATTCGAGAAATTTCTACGTTTTTGACAGGAAGTGTTGCGTTGTTATTCGACCAGTCATTTTTTCGCCGACCTGTCCACGTTACCCGCGTTCAATTTGTAAGTTGTTTATGCTTTTCTTTCCTTTTAGGTAAAAGTATGTTATCCAAGGCCAAAAATGATGGTTTTTGCCTTTTTTTCGCTCGGGACAAGTGAAAAAACGGGTAAAAATTGGAACATCTTTATGTTAGCTATTTTTTAGATCGTAAACTAGAGGTACTCAGTCGATTTCTCTCGGGCCTTCTATTTTCTGTCGAATTTTACCTAAAAAAGAAGTGAAAATAGCTTACCTGTCACCGGGAAACATTGTTTATGCCTAAATTAGAGCACGTAATCTACGAACCTGATGTAATACAGCTCCCTTTTGAGTCGTGCGCTGCAAACAACTTCTGATTGGACCCGTCCCTTCAAAATCCAACGACCCGACCTTCTTCAACAGCAAGAAAAATAGTCCAGCTTGCTGTCTACAACTGACAACCGGCGTATCAACATTTGGATGAACGGGTATGAAGCCACACTAACGACAGTTGCAATTTTTTCCGGAATACATACGAATCTCATTTTTAGGGCATCTTGTTTTGTTTGAAATTCAGAAGTTTTATCCAAAATCCAGCCAAGAAATCGAAGATTTCTGGCTGAATTTGAGTCAAAATATTTTTGCGCAACCAAAAAACCCTGGCTGAGATTCAGACAAACAAATTCTGGCTGAATTTCAGCCAAATTTGTTTGGCTGAGCCAAAAAAGGCTTGGCTGAAAGTTCAGCCAAGA